TGTCACTGTGCTGTACATCAGATCACCAGAACTTACTCATTTTATAGCTGGAAGTTTGTACCTTTTTATGAATATCTCTCCATTTCGTCCACTCCCCAGCCCCTGGCAATCTACCAGTTTACTCTCTGTTTCTATGCATTCAGCTTTTTTAGATTCTACATATAAGTAAGATCATACAGTATTTGGTCTTTCTCTGTCTGGCTTATTTCACTTAGCATAATGCCCTCAAGATTCATCCATGTTGTTGCAGATGCCAGGATTTCCTTCTTTTTTATGACTGAATAATATTGCATTGTATATATACCACATTTTCTTTATCCATTTGTCCATCAGTGGACACTTAGATTGTTTCCGTGTCTTGGCTGTTGTGAATAATGCTGCAATGAACATGGGGTTGCAAATACTGCTTCTAGATAGTGATTTTGTTTCCTTTAGATATATGCCCAGAAGTGGGTTTGCTAGAGTATATGGTAGTTCTATTTCTATTTATTTATTTATATTATTATTATTTTTTTGGTGAGGAAGATTGGCCCTGAGCTAACATCCATTGCCAATCTTCCTCTTTTTGCTTGAGGAAGATTGTTGCTGAGCTAACATCTGTGCCCGTCTTCTTCTACTTTGTGTATTGGACGCCACCACAGCAGGCTTGATGAGCGGTGTGTAGGTCCATGCCCAGGATCTGAATCCCTGGGCTGCCAAGGTAGAGTGCATGAACTTAACAACTATGCCACTGGGTCGGCCCCTCATAGTTCTGTTTTTAGTATTTTGAGGAACCTCCATACTGTTTTCCATAGTGGCTGTATCAGTTTACATTCCCACCGATAGTGCACAAGGGTTCCCTTTTCTGTATATCCTTGCCATGGCTCCTTTTTACAGATTGGCAAATTGAAGCCCAGGGAAGTACAGGAACCTTAAGGTTATACAATGAATGTATAAGGACTGAGACTAAAACTCAAGATTTTTGATAGATTAACTGTGGGAACTCTCTGGAAATTAGAGTGAATTTCTATTAAATTAGTTTTCTGATACTAGAGTTAACGTGTATTGTGCTTAAGAAGACAATAAGACACAAATGAATATCTAGCTAAATGTAACTAGCCTTGCTTGCATATTAGACATTGGAAGAGTTTGACCTTAGATTTTAAAATCTTGATGTTTGGTTATTTCATCCTATAGGGATGTGAAGTGCTATGCATTTAAGAAGTGTGTGGCTGGATTGCTTTAAGATAGCGTTCTTAAAAAGTTGTATGACTTGGGTCTTTCAGAGAGAAATTGTGCTGCATGTTGTGGGACCAGCAGTCCCTGAGATTTAGGAATAAGAGACCTAATTGATTTACCATTGAGTTGTGGGGATTTGAAGCCGTTCCTAAGTTTGATGGCAGGTGAAATAGTATGGAAAAGTTGCCTGAGTCTTTTTTATACTTTACCTATTATGTCTTTTTTCTGAGAAATTGTATTAAGCCTAGGATGACATTTATATGGGATTACTGTGGCTTTGCTGTATTTGCTTCTTCACCAGAAGGATTTTTTTTTTTTGGTGAGGAAGTTTGGCCCCGAGCTAACATCTGTTGCCAGTCTTCCTCTTTTTGCTTCAGGAAGAGTGTTGCCGAGCTAACATCTGTGCCAGGTTTCCTCTGTTTTATGTGGGATGCCACCACAGCGTGGCTTGATGAGCAGTGCTAGTTCCATGCTTGGGATCCGAACCTGCAAACCCCAGGCTGCTGAAGCGGAGCGCACCGACTTAGTGACTGCGCCACCCAGCTGGACCCACGAGAAGGATTTAAAAGCCGATCAGGAGAGGTCATAGCATAGTCATAGAATTTGTCTTTCCCTTCCTGTGGTCCCATAGCATTTTTTTTATACTTTTACTCTATTTCTCATGATTTGCTGTGTGCTGTCAGCTATTACGTGTCTGTCTCTGCCAGTAGATTGTGAGCTCGTAGAGGATCAGGTGTAGAATTTCATCTTTGTAACCTCATAGGGCCTAAACTAGTGTTTTACAATATTTCAATGTTCCTTATGTGTTTGCGGTATTTCAGTGATGCTGAGAGAATCATTAGATGATACAGTCCGCTTGTTTCACTGGTAAGGAAACTGAGAAGCACAGTGACTTACTCGGTGTCATCTAGTTGTTTGGGAGACTTGTGTTCTAGTCTCAGTTCTGCTGGTTGTTTGTTCCATTATGCCTTGCTGCTTCTCAGCTGGTACTGGCGCTCTCTGGAGCAGGGGAGGGTTGTGAAAGAGGGAAAAAGCACTGGCAGGATGTAAACAGATTACACTCACATCACTGATGTGCTGCAGTTTACTGCTCTACCGGTCAGATATTTTACTTTCAAATTTAGGAGCACAGTCTTAATTTCTGAGACCCCAAACAAACTTTTGTAAGAGTTCCGCTCTTCTCTCAGTCCACGACTCTAGAAACACCCTTCTTTGCTGTGTTCTGTGGATAGAAGTACTGGCAGGAGGAGGAGACTTTGTGTTTCCAGTCACATTTCAGACAGCTTGGGTGGTAAATTCCTGTTGCTTGTGAGGATGTATTGAGGCCCTTAGTTTAAACTCCTCCTGCTCCAGATGGAAGGAGAGTGATGAAAAGAATTTAATTTCTTAGGAAATTTGGTACTTTGGATTGGAATTGTTTTTCTCTCCTCTCCTGTTCCCTTTTGCTTATTAGAAAGTATTGATTCTGGAATAAAGTGAATTGATTAGATTTGGGGTGGACATTGATTACCTGTAACCCAGTTATAAATTCTCAGAGGGAGATGTTTGTAAACATGTGCTTTTCACATCTAGGAACTCATGGTTCCTGCTCTTTTTGCCAATCAGCTGGTTGAAGCCAAGTACACAAAAGATCTATATCCACTAAGCTTAGAATTGCATTGCTTTTGATTTATTTTAATAGGATCCTCTTGATTTCCAATTTATTTTCTCCCGATAAGGGCATCTTCCTCTTGACAACCTATTTAAAAGACACAGGCATGTTTTGAACAGAGGCTGTATTTCATGCTTAAGGCAAAGCCATGATCAATATAGTATAAATTGCCCAAAAGGATCGTTCTCTTTTGTTGTTGTTTCTATTTTTTCCTTCAGTTTTCTCTGGACTACAGTGGAATTTGAGGGCTTAGTGAGGCCTTGATAAAGGTAGGTGTTACTAAAATTTTAGGTTAGACCTAGGACTTTTCAGATTTTTCTCCACGTATTTCAGACTTACTCAGTGATGAGCAGACACTGAGCATTTACCATGAGCCGAGGGCTTATAGAAAAAGTATGAAATGTAGTCACTTTGCTAAAGATGTTTAATATCTAGTTGGGGAAATTTTCTGTGCTTTGTGCCTTTCCTGCTCAAAGGTAAATCTCCTTTTTTGACTATATGTATTAGAGAAAGACATTGTCTGAGATATAATCTTTTATGCTATTGGGTGATCTCTTCCTTAAACAAAATTTTGATTTTGGTTTGAAAGATAGTGTATACTTTCCAAAAGTCATTGAACAAAATGAATTTTGTTGGGGGCTGGCCTGGTAGCACAGTGGTTAAGTATGCACGTCCTGCTTTGGCAGCTTGGGGTTTGCCACTTCGGATCTCGGGTGTGGATGTAGTACTGCTTGGCAAGCCATGCTGTGGTAGGTGTCCCGCATATAAAGGAGAGGAAGATGGGCACGGATGTTAGCTCAGGGTCAGTCTTCCTCAGCAAAAAGAGGAAGATTGGCAGCAGATGTTAGTTCAGGGCTAATCTTCCTCAAAAACAAAAAAATAAATTAATTTTTGCTCTGCTGCTTTGGATTTCCCTGCAAGTGGAAATCAGGCTTCTCATTACCCCCATACTTGCCACTGGGTAAGATTAAGTTTCACAACTGGAGCCTAGGATTTAAGAGAGGAATTTTGTTAATAATAGAAAGAATCTTGGAAGTGAGAGAATATGTGTAAATTCACAGTGGAGACCTGTGGGATTTCAAGTTCTCATTTGAAAAAAATTGGGAATTCCTTGAGGCAAGATGAGAAAATTTTGGCATGGTTCATGGAAATGAATGGAACTACTTTTATATAGAATTGACTCATAGAACTGCTTTTATTTATTTATTTTTTGCTGAGGAAGATATGCCCTGAGCTAACATCTGTTGTCAATCTTCCTCTTCTTTTGCTTGAGGAGGATTAGCCCTGAGCTAATATGTGTGCCAATCTCTACTTTATATGTGGGTCACCACCACAGCATGGCTGACAAGTAGTCTGTGCCCCAGATCCGAACCTGTGAACTGGGCCACTGAAGCGGAGTGTGTGGAACTTACCCACTGTGCCATGCGGCTGGCCCCCTAGAACTGGTTTTATATAGAATTGAAAAATACATTGACGTTTGATCTGCAGTTGTATTACAAATATATAATTAAATTTGAAAGGAGTATTGTTATATTCAGTTACTTTGAAGTTTAATTTTTGGCCTTTTAACTGCTATCTTCTGCCTTGGGTCTCTTTCCAGAGGAATTTCTGAAGACAGTCAAGTGCAGTGTGATTTATGAGGCAGTGAAGGCCAAGTACTTTGCAGTGACAAGGACCTACTTACTTTGGGGAAATCAATGGAGCACATCAGTCTGCAGCACACTTCCTGCCTTTAATGGCCCTAAGCTCGATCAATACTTGAAATTTAACTTCACCATCAGTCTGTGGGCAGTGTGTGCTTTGCAGCCTTCCTTTCATCAGCCTCAAATATATGGCCAGACTTATTATAGATGGAGCTGGTTACAATTTTCCTGCTTGGTTTGGATCTGCTTCAAACCTTGTCCACTGACATGTTTTAAGGATGTAAAATGTGTTGTGCTGTAGGCCAAGTAATGATTTAAACCTTGAAATTACCTGGTTGGGGAGGGGGTGTTGGACAGGTGCACAAGATCTACAGCATGGTTTTTTATCATTTCTTCTTCCTAAAAAATTTCCCACTGAGAGGTATTTCATAGACTCTCTAGCATCTTGGAGAGCATTTCTAGTACTGACAGTGGCTTTCTTTTCACAGATTCTCTAACCATGGCACAAGTAGAGAAAAGAGGGGGTTTGCTCCGGAAATCTTCAGCCTCCAAAAAACCACTGAAGGAAAAAGTGGTGCTGATGTATGATGAGATCTTCATGGTAAGGCCTGAAGCCCTAACATTTTGCACAACTTGACTCCTTAGTTTCTTGTTCCAAAATGAGAAATAACCTCACCTCTGCCTGCTACCTTCCAGTTCTTCAGAGGGAGAAAGAGAGAGAGCAGGGTGTGAGAGTGAGCTCTCAGGGTAGAAATTATGATCGTGTATTAATTAATATAGATTGTTACTACATTGTTCTTATAGATTGTTGCCGTGAGCTGGGTAGAACAGTTGAAAAGAGGGAGGGCGGCTGGGGAAGCTTCTTTTCTGAACATCTTTAAGAAAGACTTGGGGGCCAGCCCAGTGGTGCAGCGGTTAAGTGCGCACGTTCCAGTTTGGTGGCCTGGGGTTCACCGGTTCACATCCTGGGTGCGGACATGGCACTGCTTGGCAAGCTGTGCTGTGGTAGGCATCCCACATATAAAAGTAGAGGAAGATGGGCGCGGATGTTAGCTCAGGGCTAATCTTCCTCAAAAAAGAAAAAAAAAAGACTAGTCTTCCTTATGATATGACATATGGACCCTTCAATCCTAGATATCCCTTGAAGTCCCTTTTGGCCCTAGAATACAATGATTCAGATATTTTTAAAAGATGCTCTATTATATTCTATTTCAAGTTGTTAGTGGACAGAACAATTACTTAGACTATCTCATTCTCCACCTATATGAGGTAACTGAGGAATTATTAGCAATTGAATCGGGGATTTCTTTGGGTCTTCATAACTATTGATTGACCATGGTCCAAGCCTGTGTTGTAAAATATACCCTATCAGGGAAGATTAGAGTAATTAGATACCCTGCAGGGGTACTTGCCTTCTGAAATTGTGGTCATAAGTAGTACATGTAAAACGGAGTAATACTCAGAGAAAGAGTTGCCGTATAATGAGTTTCTACTATGTGCCTGGCATTATTCTAAATGCATCACTAAATACATTAGCTCTAACTCTGACAAGAATGCCCTACAAGGGCCGTGTTTTCACGTGTTTCACGTAAAAGAGCATGTTATAGATGAGAAAATTGGGGATCACAGCTAGAAGGTGATGGAGCCATGATTTGAACCCTAGTGTCTTGACTCTATAGAGCCCTTACTCGTTCAATTTTGCCATATGGCCCAGGATAAATAATTTGATCAAGTAAACTATCTAACTCTTGGCAAGCTTTAGAGACAGAGTTTGCCATGCAAAAAATTAATACAGAATTGCCCAGGTCAGAACAGGTGGTTATACAGAGAAAATGAGTAGGTACTAGGATACTATTAGGGCTCTTTCTATGTTAACTAAGCTTGGTATATATATGAATCCTGCTTGAGTAAGCTTTGAAGATGGCAAGTGTCAGCTCTTTGAGTTCCAAATGACATTACAGAAGTGTAAGGATCAAAGTATGACCCTTCCTGGGGAGCAGGACTTGAGAGAAAGGGAAAGAAAGAATTCATTAAACGAGGACCTTATGAAAAGGCCGAAAATGTTGCTTCTCTATGTCATTCTTAATTAAAAATCCAGAAGAGATTCCTGGTATAATATTTTCTCATTAGATCAGGAATTCTTAGCTAATGAAGACAGTAGTTCTTGGTAATAATTTTAAAAGGTCAACTTAAGGTAAGGTGATAGCAAACATTTGACCTACTGATTTTATGTCCTTAGCTTTCCTGTAAAGTAGAGGTTCTCTTTTTCTTGTTTCACTCATTAACCAGAAGCCTCTGACTTCATAGAATTTCTGTTTAAAAATTATTGCTAAGAAATTTTGGATTTTAGCACTATAATTTTGCTAACCTCTGGGACCAATTTGAATTCAGCAAAGAACATATTAAAAGCTCTGTACAGAGGACTAAATGCATATGGGAAGGCAAGTAGAAGCAGTCAACACAGGATGTTGTAAAAACACGGCAGTATTCCTTAGATGATCTGGGTTCTGGCTCCTGCACTTGTGTAAGTCACTTAACTTTGTGGACCCTCTTTCCTAAAAGGAGGATAATATAATATCTACCATACCTGGCTCACTGGTCCGTTGTATTTCACGCATGTGAATGGGCTTTGAAAACCGAGCACCATGCAAATGCAATGGGGATGTATAATATTATTATAGACTAACTTATTCAGGTGGTTAGGTTCACTTCTTGCTAGAAGAGAAAGATTTGAGGGAGATTCTTTGAGTCACGATTTAACTTTTGATGCAAGGGAATATATATCCCTGCATATTGTCTTCCATTTGGGGAAAAACCCAAAAAAACTGTTGTTCCCCGTAGAGCAGTTTAGAATGAACAAGCATTTTCAAAGTTAATTTTAAAAGATAAGGTTGATTATGTGTAGTGATCTTTTCTTGCTTTTTTTTTTTTGACGAAGATTAGCCCTAAGCTAACATCTGCTGCCAATCCTCCTCTTTTTGCTGAGGAAGACTGGCCCTGAGGTAACATCTGTGCCCGTCTTCCTCTACTTTATATGTGGGACACCTACCACAGCATGGCTTGCCGAGTGGTGCCATGTCCACACCCAGGATCTGAACCAGTGAACCCCAGGCCGCCGAAGCGGAATGTGTGCGCTTAACTGCTGCGCCGTAGGGCCCGCCCCATCTTTTTTTTTTTTTAAAGATTGGCAGCTGACCTAACAACTGTTGCCAATCTTTTTTTTTTTTCTGCTTTTTCTCCCCAAATCCCCCCACTACATAGTTGTATATTCTTTTAGTTGTGGGTCCTTGTAGTTGTGGCATGTGGGACGCCACCTCAGTGTGGCCTGATGAGTGGTGCCATGTCTGCGCCCAAGATCTGAACCAGGGAAACGCTGGGCTGCCAAAGTGGAGCGTGTGAACTTAACCGCTTGGCCATGGGGCTGGCCCATGTAGTGATCTTTTCAAACGTGTTCTTAATGCGTTGGTGTTAGTTGAACTTGCTTATCTTCTGTTTGCAGACAGAGGACCCCAGTAAGTGCAGTCCTCGATTTTGGGAGGAGCTCTTCCTCATGAAGGTAAGACTTGGTGGCATCTATGGATTTCCCTGGTCACTGAGACTGCCTTTTCACATGTTCTAGGTGCTACACTAAAAACGCACTCAGGCCCTTATTGTTTCCTTGGTAGGTGAATTTAGAGTACCTAGAAGGCAAGCTGGAGTCTCTTGATGGTGAGGAGTTAATGAAGATCAAGGACAATATCAACTGCTTATTTCAGCACTGCATCCAGGCTCTGGGAGAGGAGCATCCAATTCGAGTTGTCAATGCATTGCAGGTACAAGGCTGGGAGACGGGGGAAGTCTTGCTTAATAGGAGAAAGGAGTTGTAACATATCTGTTGGCACCTGAGGAACCTAGAATTGCCCTTAGGTATGAGGTTTTTTTTTTCTTTATTTCTTTTTCTTTTTTTCTTTTTTTAATTTTTTAATTTTTTTCCTTTTTCTCCCCAAAGCCCCCCAGTGCATAGTTGTATATTCTTAGTTGTGGGTCCTTCTAGTTGTGGCATGTGGGACGCTGCCTCAGCGTGGTTTGATGAGCAGTGCCATGTCCGTGCCCAGGATTCGAACCAACGAAACACTGGGCTGCCTGCAGCGGAGTGCACAAACTTAACCACTCGGCCACGGGGCCAGCCCCTCTTTATTTCTTTAAGTAATCAAACATCTATGCCATGTTTATTTAACCATCTTCCTGGTTAAATAAATCAATGCTTATAATAGTAATCTTGTTGATTTGTATAATTTGGTCTAACGCCAAGGCAGATTGTTTGACAGAATTCTTAGTGCTTGAGAAAAGGAAGAATTAGAGAGAAAACTGAGGCTAGGATGCTTAATCTACAGCCAAATCCAGGAGAGATTCTTAGTGCAGTGTTTTCTCACTAGATGAAGAGTTCTCTTTTTTTTCCTCCCCAAAGCCCTAGTACACAGCTGTATATTCTAGTCATAAGTCCCAGTTCTTCTATGTGAGCTGTTGCCACAGCATGCCTACTGACAGACGAGTGGTGTGGCTCTGTGCTCGGGAACTGGACCCAGGCTGCTGAGGTGGAGCATGCCAAACTTTAACCACTAGGCCCTCAGGTCTGGCCCAGATCAGGAGTTGTTTTTTTTTTTTTCTAAAGCAAGATTATCCCTGAGCTAACATCCACCGCCAATCCTCCTCTTTTTGCTGAGGAAGATTGTCCCTGAGCTGACATCTGTGCCCACCAGATCAGGAGTTCTTAATCTGAGGTTTCAGAAGGTCCTTAACTCCCTGAAATTTTATGTAGTATTTTATGTGCCTATGTATATTTTTTCTGGTGAGAGGGCTTTCATCAGATTCTTAAAAGGATCTGTAACTCTAAAAACATTAAGAATCATTGTTCTTAATGCTAAGCATGATCATGAGGAAGATTCATTGAACAATTATTTCTTGAATGATTGTTACGTGCAAGCATTGGGCTGGTGGGGATATGTTATAGGCCTCTTGAGGGCAAAGACTTTCATAGTTTTATTCAATTTTTGTGTTCCTAGTGTGTAGAACAGTGCTTGGCAAATAGCACTCTAGAAGTAAATTCTTTTTTTTTCCTGAGGAAGATTCACACTGAGCTACTATTCATGCCAGTCTTCCTCAATTTTTTGCCTGTGGGCCACCAGCACAGCATGGCCCCTAATAGAGCAGTGTAGGTCCATACTGGGATCTGAACCCAGGCTGCCAAAACGGAGCACGCTGAACTTAACCACCAGGCCTCTGGGGCTGGCCCTAGAAGTAAATTTTTATTGACTAAATGCTGGGCAGAGTTTCTTAAGTTTATAGTGTGGTAGCTCCAATGTAGCCTGGATTGGGCTGAGTACCTAGGGCAGTGACTGACAAACTTAGAATATGAAGAATTCATAACAGCATGAAGGATTTTATTGGAACTTTTGGTAGATTAGGTTTAAGTTTCTAACTTACTAATTGGGTAAATCACTTTGTGAGCCCTAGTTTTCTCATCTGTAGAATGTAGAAATTACATCTTAAGCTCATGCCCCAGAAAAAAGGACCACATTTATCCTGTAGCTTTGTTAACTCTTGGCACAGTAAATTTCTGTGTTTTGTATATCATACCTGAGGAGTTCATTGAAAGTTAAAATGAAAATTGGAAATTGTGTTTCCTGTAATTGCAGTGGCTCACTGTGGGGCATGAATTGTAATCTGTTTTTAGTTCAGCAGAAATAAATTGACATTAACCTACTTGATGACCCACAAAAATATAGTACTGTTGTTGTTAATAGCTGATAGTTATTGAGCTTTAACAAAGTTCCAGGCACTATTCCTGGAGCTTTAACAAAGTTCCAGGGACTATTCGAAGTGATTTATAGTCTTAATTCACATAGTCCTCACAATGTCTGTGACACAATGTCTCTGAGAAGGGTGCTATTATTATCATTCCTATTTTATAGATGAGAAAACTGAGGCACTGAGAAGTTACCTAATTTGTCCAGGCTTACATAGCTAGTAAGCAGTGGATGGGGATTGTAATGAATTTAGGATTGTTTTATCATATAGGGACTTAAATAACTTTTGTAGTTATTAAAAAATAATTACTAAAAATTATAAACTATAGGGGCTGGCCCGGTGGTGCAGCAGTTAAGTGCACACATTCCACTTCGGTGGCCTGGGGTTTGCCGGTTTGGATCCCGGGTGTGGACATGGCACCGCTTGGCAAACCATGCTGTGGTAGGTGTCCCACATATAAAGTAGAGGAAGATGGGCATGGATGTTAGCTCAGGGCCAGTCTTCCTCAGCAAAAAAGAGGAGGATTGGCAGCAGATGTTAGCTCAGGGCTAATCTTCCTCAAATAACCAAAACAAAACAAAATAAGAAACTATTATGTTAATACTAAAACTAATTTTAAAGATTTTATTTTTCCTTTTTCTCCCCAAAGCCCCCAGGTACACAGTTGTGTATTTTCAGTTGTGGGTCCTTCTAGTTGTGGCATGTGGGACGCCACCTCAGCATGGCTTGATGAGTGGCGCCATGTCCATGCCCAGGATTCCAACTGGCGAAACCCTGGGCCACTGAAGCAGAGCGTGCAAACTTAACCACTCGGCCACAGGGCTGGCCCCTAAAACTAATTTTAAATAAAGGAAAGTTCCACTGCTCCCCTGACTGAAACTCAAGAACTATTTTTTGTTTATTTTTTAATTTTTTTTAAGGAAGATTAACCCTGAGCTAACGTCTGTCACCAGTCTTCCTCTTTTTGCTGAGGAAGACTGGCCTGAGCTAACATCTGTGCCCATCTTCCTCTACTTTATATGTGGGACACCTGCCACAGCGTGGCTCGACAAGTGGTGCCTAGGTCTGTACCTGGGATTCAAACCGGCGAACCCTGGGCTGCCAAAGCTGGACGTGAGAACTTAACTGCTGTGCCACTGGGCTGGCCCCATTTTCTATTTTTGAATATCACATTCCAGTCTTTGTCTGCAGTGCAGTTTTTAAAAAGAGAATGGCCAAAAAGCAACAAAAAAAGAGGATTGCAACAGTTTCAGTTGCTTTTCCTCTTTTAATTTCTGGATTTTGCACATATTAAGACTCAGACTGTGTTTTGGAGCTCAGAGTAATAGAGCAACTGAATGTCAGCTGTATATGGAGCTGGTTTGAGGTTGCAGTGTGAGGTTACACATCCAGTACCTTTTGTATTTTGAGTGTCTCTCTAGAAAGAATTCTTTCTCTCATCTCTGCAGACCTTGTGTGCACTCATTCGAGGAGTCCATCAAAAGAATAAGTCTACCTCTGGGTTTGACATTATCAACATGCTGATGGGCTTTGACAAGGCGGAGCTGTGCATGAAGGTGAGGCATAAGCTGCTGATGTGCCTATGGAAGGCTGCTTCTGACAGCTGTTCATGGATACCATCTGCGTGTAGTTAGATGTACTAGAAGATTTGGCCTCAGATGGATGTACTCAGATAGATGTAGATGATTGAATTTGCCCTTGAATTTGAATAGGTTTATTTTACAGATTTGGTTTGTCTGAATAAAGGAAAAGTTCAAATTCAAATTTGAGTTGAGGCATCCTTTCCCTGCAGGATAAAGACTGAGCAGTTTATTTTATGATTAATATCATATTGTCATACATTTTTTTTTTAATATTTTATTTTATTTTTCCTTTTTCTCCCCCAAAGCCCCTGGTACATAGTTGTATATTTTTAGTCGTAGGTCCTTCTAGTTGTGGCATGTGGGATGCCGCCTCAGCATGACTTGATGAGCAGTGCCATGTCTGTGCCCAGGATCCAAACCAGTGAAACCCTGGGCTGCGGAAGCGGAGCACGTGAACTTAACCACTCAGCCAAGTGGCCTGCCCCTGTCATGCATTCTTAAAAACATTTATGAATTTACATATGACAAATTAATATACAAGGGTAACTTTAGTTGTAAACTTTAAGCTTTCTTGTTTAACACAATGACTTTATCAGAATTATTTCTACTGTTTGACACTTTTAAAATAACAGCTTTATTCATATGTAATTCACATACCCTTTTAAAATGTCTAATTCTCTCATTTTTAGTATCTTCATCAGTGTTGTACAACCATCACTACTGTTAATTTCAGAACATTTTCATCACAACGTGGCTGCCAAGGAGCAGTGTAGGTCTGTGCCTGGAAACCCAACCTGGGCTACCAAAGCGGAGCATGCCAAAGTTAGCTACTAGGCCATGGGGCTGGCCCCCATTCATTCTTTTGACAGACGTTTGTTAGTGTCCTGTGTGCCAGGCACTGGAGATACAGAGGCAGATAAGACATGGCAACTATCCTCAGAAAATTGATAGATTAGTTCTCATTTGTCTCCCCCCTTCCATGCTTACCATCTTTAAATCTGTCATCTACACTGACACCAGAGTGATGTGTCTTACATTCAGATCTTTTCTGCTTAAAACCCTTTATTAGTTTCCTATCACTAACAGGATAAAGACCAAACTCCCTAGTTAGCCTTATAAAACTTTCATGATTACGCTCCCTATTTATTTCTCCAGTCTCATCTCTCACCACTGTGCCTCAGTCTTTATAATTCCATAATAACAAACTACTTATATTCTAACTCCATGGCTAGGGTTGTTTCATTCCTCATGTGTCTTTGATCATGCTAATGCCTGTCTAGAATTCTTTTCTTCCTCAAGTGTTAATTAATTCCTACTAATTTTTCAAAATATAACCCACTCCTGGGGAGTCCTGCAATAGGTGACTTCTGAGCTAATTCCCTTACTCCATGTATATTTCTGTCATAGTAACCATTAAATTAAAATTTATTTATTTTTCTCTCCCATTAGACTAAAAACACTTTGAGAGCAAGGGTCATTATCTTATTTTTCTCTTGTATTTTTTTTTTAAAGATTGGCACCTGAGCTAACAACTGTTGCCAACTTTTTTTTTCCTCCCCCAAATCCCCAGTGGATAGTTGCATATTTTTTTAGTTGTGGGTCCTTCTAGTTGTGGCATGTGGGACGCCGCCTCAGCATGGCCTGATGAGCGGTGCCATGTCCGCGCCTGGGATTCAAACTGACAAAACCCCGGGCTGCTGAAGCGGAGCGTGCGAGCTTAACCACTGGGCCACGGGGCCGGCCCCTCGCTTGTATTTTTTAAAGCACAATATTTAGCGTACAGTAGACCGTCACTACGTATTTGTTGACTTGAACTCACATAGCTTATTTTGAACCTTCGCTTGACATTCCAGCATCCTAAATCCTTATTTTCCATCCATTCTCCTTCATTCAATGTAAAATATTTCTTTTCTTATTCCTTTTATCGTAGTATCTAAGAGTTTCATCTTTTCTTTTAAAAAGATTTAATTTTTTAAAAAAACTTTTCCTTCTTCTTCCCAAAGTCCCCTAGTACACAGTTGTATGTTTTAGTTGTGGGTTCTTCTAGTTGTGGCATGTGGGACGCCACCTCTGCGTGGCCTGACAAGCAGTGCTAGATCCGCGCCCAGGATCCGAACCACCAAAACCCTGGGCCGCCAAAGCGGAGCTCGCAAACTTAACCACTCGGCCATGGGGCCAGCCCCAGGGTTTCATCTTTTGATTACATTGGGTCTGACAGCTGGTTATTAGTACAAGTGATAAACTCCAGTCACATTGACTAGTAGAATCCACCAGGATGGAAACAAGCTAGCTTTGCTGGATAGTGCATATGGCCAGTGATAGGCAGTAGTGATACTGTCTTTTTGTTGTTTGTTCAGTGTGCCTGCATCAAGTGATATGCTTTCTTTATCAAATAATGAAACTTACCTAGTTATGTAACCATTATTTTGTTGTTGTTGAGGAAGATTAACCCTGAGCTAACATCCACTGCCAGTCCTCCTCTTTTTGCTGGGGAAGACTGGCCCTGAGCTAACGTCTGTGCCCATCTTCCTCCACTTTATATGTGGGACGCCTACCATAGCATGGCTTGTCAAGCGGTGCCATGTCCACACCCGGGATCTGAACCGGCGAACCCCAGGCCACTGAAGTGGAACTTGCGAACTTAACTGCTGCGCCACTGTGCTGGGCCCTGTAACCATTGTTATTAGCCTTTAACTTAACCATATTTAACTATTTTAAATTAAATTAAATTAAATTTTATTTAATTAATTGGTTTATTATTGTTTTTAATTTATACATTTATTATTTACTTTAACCATTATTATTAACCTTTTACAAAAAGATTTACATGAGGATGACAGGCTGCAAACATTCATTTGTTAGAATAATGAAGTCTTTATTGTTCTGTGCAGTTGTTTTAAAGCAGTTTTTCCAAAAGAGCTGTACTCAGAAGTCTTCCTTTTCCTTGTTTAATCTTACAAGGTGTATGCTTCATTGTGTGTTGTTCACATAACCCTGCATAACAACCAAGAGTTGGAGAAAGACACAATGGAGATGTTATTTGATATGGTTTAATACTTAATGGTTCTCTTTCCTAGAACTTGATGGAGAGTTTGGATTCATTGCTTTGTGCAGAAGGATCTGAAAGTCTGAAGAGTTTATGTCTGAAACTTCTCCTTTGCTTAGTGACTGTAAGCGTCCCATCTATATGTGTCTTTGTTAAGGGTGTTACTCAACAGCAGGGGCAGGCTTATTTGAATACTTGAGCCCAAAGTTAGAAAGGAAAAGAGAAGAAAAATTCTCTTCTGGAGCATTACATCACTCTGTTGTGTTTGAATGTGTAGAAGGAAGTTAGTTGCATGGGCTTTTGCTTCCTGGAAGTTGCTTTTTTAACCTGCAGGATATGTGATATTTATCACCTGAGAGGTACCATACCTGGAAAACTACACGCTTCTGGATTGTCAGATTCATCCTTCTCATCAGGTCTCATTTGGAAACAGCTTTTGTGGTTCTGAATATTTTTATTTGTTCTAACTTTGATTTTATAGCTTGAAGCTGGCTTGTACTTCTAGTGGGAGGAGGGTGGGGTATTGTTTGTTTACTTCAAGTTCCCTTTCCCTACTACCACTTGAAGACTTATGGATCATAAGCTTCTTTCTGTGCCTTTGAGGAATGAAAGCCAAGAAGCTGTTAAGCAAATGAGGATATGAGAGAAACAATGAGAAGTTCAAAGATTTAGGAAGTTTTTTTTTGGGGGGAAGATTAGCCCTGAGCTAACATCTGCTGCCAATCCTCCTCTTTTTGCTGAGGAAGACTGGCCCTGAGCTAACATCCATGCCCATCTTCCTCTACTTTATATGTGAGACGCCTGCCACAGCATGGCTTGTCAAGCGGTCCGTGGCCATACCAGGGATCCGAACCAGTGAACCCCGGGCCGCAAGTGGAACGTGTGCACTTAACTGCTGCACTGCCAGGCCAGCCCCTAGGAAGTTTTAATTTGCTAATTTCCTACCCTTCTGGTGTCTGTCTTTTTAGGCTTTGGTGACTTTGTGGGTGCTTATGAAAGGTCTACTAGGTATCTAGTAGAAAGTTTTAACATTTCTGTTTCTCTTAGATGCCAGGGGAGGAGATAGACATGAGATATGAGAGTGCCTCATTATAGACTTTAAAAAGCCTTTTATTGCATTCAGGTGACAGATAACATCAGCCAGAACACTATCCTGGAGTATGTAATGATCAACAGCATATTTGAAGCAATTTTACAGGTAGGTCGATTCCCTTGTCATCTCTTTCTCTTTTGGGTAAGCCACTTCCTCGGATCGTCTCTGTCTGCATTCCTGGGAACTAGGAGTTAGTATGCTCACGTGTCTTCTGGTTCTTGTTACAGATTCTCTCCCACCCTCCAAGTCGTAGGGAGCATGGGTATGATGCTGTAGTCCTCTTGGCTTTGCTGGTGAACTACAGAAAATATGAGGTAAATGGGGCCCTTAATGGACAGTTATCTTTCTATCATATTCCTAAATATGACCACTCCTAGGGGACTTTACTTAATGTAGAAGACGTGTTCTTGCTAAATGGTATATAGATTAGTTTTGATAAACTAGGCATTTGCCTGGCGCGGAGGATAGAGCTGTTCGAAGGAATCCTGTGGTGCAACTTCTAATAGACTGAGTAAATATCCTAGTAGAGTGAGTAAACATCCTTAATGTAGTGGTTCCCAAACCCAGCTTATCATTAAAATCACCTAGGAACTTTTGAAAAAAAGAAATTTCTGGGCTTTACTTTTGACATACTGAATCAGAATCTCCTGGGGGTGGACCTGGGAAGCTGTTTTTTCTTTTTTTTTTTTAAGATCTCCTGTTGAATATGATGACTAGCTGGGATTGAGAACCACTGACCTAATGCATCTGTTTTGAAAGACTGGATTTTTATATATTGGATTTCCTTAATGTAATCCACTTGTATAAGTATTACTGTTGGTCTGAGACCTCTTTCTGATTTCAATGAGATTGGAAGACAGAGTCTTATCCATATTAATTCTGGAGTTCTTTTTGCCCCTGAATTAATCAGGAACAGATGTATAGGTTTTTGAGATGAAGAGCAGAACTCAGAGATTTATACTTGGGTTGGTACGTCTTTTTGATTCCTTTCAAAAGGCAGAATACACAGAAAAGGAAGGGGGCTACTTAGGGAAGACCAAGGGCCTCACTGAGGATTGCTTTATAGGAATAGGGAGCATTTGGCACTAAGTCTTGGACACTAGGAGTGCTTTAACTGAACCCAGAAATTAGGAGCTGCATCAAGGCAACCTGACTTTCTTCGCTTATTAAGTAGCAGTGCTATGAGAAATGGACCAGCTGGAGGGAGCATTTTCTTTTCTGAGCTTCTGGAGTTTCACTTAGTGATTTTTACTGTGATTCCTAGCCAGGTCAAAAGTAATAGGTAACACAAAATCTAGAGCTTATTTTTATAAGGAGCGATATGGAAGAAGGGAAGGATGTGAGAAAAGAATGCTTAAAGAGGGACAGGGATATGTGGAGCAATGTTTATGTGTTATAAATCCCAGGAGCTGATCGCTTTCTTTGTCTTGGAGGAACTGACGAATGGTGTGTATAGTTATTAATAAATATGTAATTTATTACCAACACCTGTTTCACTGGTGATCTGGATGGGTTGGCATAGTAGCCATTTTGATCTCTGTCATATGTTAATAGCCTCTAGGGCCTTATTACAAAAGCAAGAAAAATAGCTCAGGAAAAATGCTGAAGACAGTTAAAGAGAGTTGAGTTATATGTGATAGGAGAGTGCCATCATCAGTAATGAATATTTTTGGAACATTCTGCTGGATGCAGGCCACCCTGAGGCAATGGCTTGGCTTCTCTAAATGTGAACTGAACCCTAGCTAGCCCAGTAGGGCGCTCTGAAATGTCAGCCTGAAAAATTGGACATGGCCAAGGAACTGGAGAAAATCATTTCTGGAGTGAGGTGTGCATCTCTAGTCTGTCAGAAGCCCCAGAAGAATTAATATAGTAGGCAAGGGCAAGCTGGTGGGCATAATTTATCTGGGCTTTGCAGCTTTTGATATAAGTCACTCACCAGAAACCATTAAGGAAGCTTAGTGGCCGTGGAGCAGGAAGGTTTTTGACAGGAACATGAGGAATTCCAGATGAACATAGCAAAACCAAAAGCTGGTGAAGTTTTATGCAAACTAGTATAACAGGTTGTGTGCTGGGAAGAACAACATTCTAGCCACCACCATAATTGATCCCTTGACCAGTGGGTTAAGTCATAACCTTTTTAGAAAGTTGCAGAGGTCACCAGAGAGGCTGAGTGCCCAGCAAAACACAGAGAAGGCAAATAAGGTATTGGGCTTAAGGAATGGAAGTGATGGAAAAGATGTCATGTAGTAAATGTAAATAATTCTTTCTCATTTCAAATAGTGTATTCCATTTTAGTCATTTCATCGAAAGAAAGAGAAGGCAAAAAAAAAAGGACTAGGGAAGAGCTATGAAAAATGATAAATATGATTTAGATCAAATGAAGGCAGGACACTGTTAAAGTGAACCTGTGAGGGCTCACTGAGCTTGTAATTCTGTCTTGTGGATGAAAAGTAGATTGCCTGCAGTTTTAAAAAAAATGTGACTAGCATAACAGGTGTGTAGTGTTAAGGAAAATCAGTGTCTGATAGAACAGAAATTCTTACAGCATTAAGATCTTCTTCCGCCTCTTCACAGTGTTAACCCTTCTAGGTTGGCCAAGTCTCCTGAGATGAAGTGACTCAGTCCCCAACTGCTGCCCTGAATATGACTTTTCCCAGAAATTACAAAATTGGTTGTTATGTCCGGTTGCAAGTTGTTCCTTTTCTGTATCTCTCTCTCTTTTTTTTTTCTCTAAAGAGCTTCTTTCAAATGTGATGAAATGTCAAAGGAGAAGAAACATAGCTACCAATCATTGAGCCCGTACCATATGCTAAATGCTATGCTAAGGATTTTACATGTCTTACTTCATTTAAGCCTCATAGTAACCCCAAGGAAGCAAATATTATTCCCATTTTACAGATGAGGAGATTGAGCTTAGGTAAATTAATGTCCCTAACTTGTCACACATAATAAGTAGAGGAGCTAGAACTCAAACCTTTGCTTTTAGCTGCCTTGTCTTTCCTCAGCTGCTGCTAAAGCATAGGCTGTTCTTGGTAATTAGATGATCCTTATTATTAGCTAAAACAGTGTACTTTTGGGAATGTGAGTAGTTAGGACTTTCAAAAATTGTGCCAAGAAACAGAGACCTGCTCCTTGTGGTGGTGTTCTCTTCATGGTGGCATCTCTAGGTCAGCATACTGCTGATTTTCTTTTCCAAGGATCCACTGGCATTGGATCTTGTCTGAAGTCTGTAGCATCAGCAGGATTTGACTCTTGGTTATAGAAAGAAGTGTTGAGAGCCTTCCTCTGTCAGATCAAGGGGCAAATGGAGTGAATTTTACTTCCTTGAGTTGTGTTGTAGAAAACCTTATAAATGTTTGGGCTGTTAACAAAGCAAAGCTGTCTCTTTCTCTATTCCCAATTGACATTCGAAAGATGCCCTCAGAAACTTGATTAAATAAGGTCTGTGTAGGGGGTTAGTCTTTTAGTTGGGTTTTCAAGTTTCCAGTAATGAGTCTTCTTGGTTGCTGTAAAAACTGCCAGTCCAAGAACTATTGTTCCTTTCTTCCCTTGGGTTAGAATTGGTGCCTGGTCTATATGAGGTCTTTCCTAACATACCATGAGTGGGATATTTTCAAGGTGAGCGGGTCATTGGTTCTCATCTCACTTTTAGGAGATGGCCCAAGTGCTTAATGAGTTTAAATATATGTCTATTTCCATATTCTGCCCAGCTGAGATTGGATCTGGAAAAACTCAAGAAATCTTCCAATGCTATAGTAGTGGAACAGTCATTAAATCCCAGTGTCCTGAGCAGATTGTCGTTTGGGTAATTAGATCCTTCCTTTCAGTTCTCCTGCAGTGTTATTTAGGTATCAGATCCATAAATGGCCTCTTTGACTATTAAGCAGCTGCCACTTTCCACCCCCAAGGTGGCTTTGTTTTACGGGTGGGTGAATCAGTCCTTGCATATGGTTTGTGGAATGGTTATGGAGCCTTTCGGATGAGAATGTAAGTTAGCAACTTATAAATATGTGCCTTATGGGAAAGAAGCTTTTATGGTTCCAAAAGACAGCTGTCCCTATGGACTCAGTAAATTATTGGCAGGATAGGAGAAAGTGAGTTTTGTAGAGTGTTCTCTTACTTCTTGGAAACAAAGAAAGAAAGAAAGATGGGAGAAGGGGCAGACAGGCCTGAGCTGATTCAGCCTAGAGGAAAATGCAGATAGAACAAAACTTGTGTGTATGTGTTTATGCATGTATGTGCTTGGTGAATGCCCATCCACATGGAGAGATTTACTAGAAATGGGAGGAGTCAGCTGGCAAGATGGGTTGGGCCTGGATATTAGGAGTACTGCTATAGGGAAAGGGCCTTATAGAAGCATTTTTGTTAACAGTTTGTTAAATAGCTAGTGGGCTCTTTTTTTTTTTTTGAGAAAGTTAGCCCTGGGCTAACATTTGTGCCCATCTTCCTCCATTTTTTATATGTGGTACACCTGCCACAGCTTGGCTTGGTAAGTGGTGTGTAGGTCTGTGCCTGGGTGTGTGAACTTAACTGCTGCGCCACTGGGCCAGCCCTGCTCGTGGGTTCTTAAGTAGTCACACTCACCTTGAGTCTCTTCTCTTGTTTAACAGTCTGTGAATCCTTATATTGTGAAGCTATCTATTGTGGATGATGAGGCTACGCTCAATGTGAGTATCTGGATCCTTGTGTATTGTTTTAATTACTTGCATTTGGTGGCCTTACTTTCAGTGGATATTTAGAACAGAGAGCAGAACTATTGCGTTAATTTCATCTGGCTATAAAGAGGAAATCAATATTGCTTTTTAGAAGCATCAATGTACTGTCTTACTGTTTTCTTATCTTCTTGTCATGAAAGAAAGGTTTGAGGGGACATTACTTGCTAATCATGATGAAATGGTTGGTTATATTTCATGTTCTAGTGTGCTGAGATTGATTATCCTACAGAGTCGATAAGTTACATTTTCAAGAATAAGAAGGCTTAGATAGTATATCAGATCCCCACAATGATTTAAATGTCTTACAATTTTATATGTCAATTATACGTCAATAAAGCTGGAAAAAAAAAAGTAGGCTTAGATGACTAAATGATGGGAAATTCCCTCTTGTAGAACTAGCCAGATGGTATTTATAGTCTGAGTTAGTGAAGCTGAAACATGGAGGATAATATATATCTGCTATATAAGTCCTTGAAAGTTTGGGAAATAACATGTGACCTTTGCATATAGGGAGGAAGAAGATGACCAGGTGTTTGGCTTTATTGTCTTTCCATCTTGCCCTCTTCATTCTTCTAATTTCCCTTATGAAAAAAAAGCACACATGATTCATCCTTGTGGCCTTAATTGATCTTTGTGTTATGCTTAGCAGGTTCTAGAGGGAAAGTTGATAAGTCACTTTAATGTTTATTGGATGCTTCTTCCTGCTACACTCCTGTTTTCCTGTGGCCTGAAAGAGGAAATCACTATATGCACCTTCATTTATCATGAGACTCATTGTCATTTTTATTGTGGCTGTTTTAGAGACATCTGAGACATTTTTGTTAGAAAGTTCTAACTCACTCTTCTCTTTTGAGGTGAAAATGATCCCAGTGAAATTGTCAGTGATCTGGGCTGGTCTCTTTCACTTCTTGTTACTCTATTAAGTAACGTTAAGTAAGATAATTAGATCATAAAAATCTTTCCAAAGAGGTTCCTTTTGATGCTTTGAGAATGCCTCTCAGAATTTCTGTTCTTGTTGCCAACTATCAGGTAGAACCTCTTGGCCTTGGACGGTGGGGGGTGTAAATTAGTTTTTACCCTGGCCTAGTCGGAGCATAGCCACCAGCCTCTTATTTCACTTGTGCTGTCTTTTTTCTTTCTAGGGAATGGGGCTTGTAATTGCTCAGGCTTTATCTGAGTACAACAGGTAAGTCCACCTCACCAGATTGAGAAGGGTCTAATTTTCGTTTGAATTGGTTGAGTAGCAAACAGGTTTGTTAGAATTCTTGGGTGGACTTCCCTTACCTATCCTAAGAGAGTATTCAGTGGTATAGCTGCTGGCAGATGTATTTGCTGTACCTTGACTTAATGGCTTTAGCAGGGGTTGTTTCTGACACCAGGGGAAATGTAGCTAACAGATTAGTGTCTATCTTTTCTTTAAGCAATTAGGTACATTCTTTTGCAAATTTTTTGTATTTGTTGCAGAGCATTTTAACTAGTTTTCCAGCTACAAAGCAGGCTCTTCTATTTAGCCCAGTGTATCGTACAGATATCATTTTCTATGAGAAAAAGGTTGTGAAACACTGCTTTTTTGTACACTTAAAAAAATAAAAGGAGGAAACATACTGAATTAGCTCTAGTTTTGACAGATGCTTCTTTTTCATCAGGAGTAAACTACAATTTCCCAGAGTCCCTGTCTGTTCTGGGGGCTCTATTGATGCTTGCTTTCCCTCTTGCTGTGGATGAAGAATGATCTGGTATTCAGTGAATGGAAACTAGAAGTATCCCTAATTCTGGCAATGGCCAGACAGGATCTTTCTTGCTCCTCTCTGGACTTTCCTTACACACAATTGGGGGTTGGAATTTCAAATCTGTTCCATCTCCACAAATAGTTTAGCTCACAAATTTCCCTCATCTTCATTCAAAAACAAACAAGATTTTCACGTTACAGCCTTAAAGTAATTTCACTGTCACACTTTTCAAGTAATAGTCTGTTTGGGAAATAACTGGATCAGCCATATGTTAGAGCAGTGTCACACTTTTGCAGCTTACTTTCTAAGTCTTTCCCAAAGTAGCCAGGCATATTGGTACACACTCAAGAGCAGATGTGTGCCTCTTAGGTTGCAGGGGAAACTCCAGTGGATGGTTTGTCATAATGCTTTTGTTTTCTGGAGTCAGTGAATTCTATGTGTGTCCTGCCCTGATTACCTAGAATGCCAAGGACAGAGACATACTTGATAAATAATACTAAAGTTGAATTTAGTTATTTTTGTTCAGGCAGTATAAAGACAAGGAAGAAGAACACCAGAGTGGTTTTTTCTCTGCTTTAACAAATATGGTAAGTCCTACTTGTTTTTTTCTCTCCTGCTTAGAAATGTAGGAGGTCTGTAGGGGTAGACAAATCTGGACTGAGAAGTTCAGATATTTGAGGTGATGGCATGATGAGGGGAGAGAAGATGCTCAGAGCGGATTTTTTTGAGAGCTCTATCTCTTCTAGTGATTTCCAAACCCAAGTGAGATGGAAAAAGGAGAGCTTTGGATTCTCTGGGACTGATTTTTTCAAGTTAATTAACTCAGATTTTAAAGGCTAAAAAAAAAAAAAAAAAGTACATAGTAAGTCAGACTTTTGCTTCCTAAAAAGTTGACTCTGTTTGAGGACTGACCCTGTGGCACACAGAGTAGGAGAGTTTAGATCTGAGTCCAACCCCGAGTGCTCTTTGGCTGTCTGCTGTGGCCACTTCATCCCTCATAGCTGGTCCTGAAGTTGAGAGATTGGTGCAGTGGATCTGAGCCACTTCTCTAAAGGCTTAATGGGCTGAGAGGTCCATGGTTTAGGAAAGTTATTGGTCCAGTTTGCAAGACTCCTGAGCAAGGTTTCTCAACCTTGGCACTATAGGCATTTTGGACCAGATAATATGAAACTAATTTTTAAGAGATAAATCTAACAGGTCTTAGAATCTAGGCAGACTCAGAAAGTCTTTTTTCTTGGGCGTTAGTATTCAAGTAATCAGCCCTAGGGCAAGAGAGTTTTTGAGTTCATTGCAAGAAATGGCCATCCCTCTATCCCACAAAAAGGCAGGTTTTTTCCCCCCAATGTCTATACCTTCTTCCTTTTTCTTTCTCAGAGCGTACTTTCAGGAAAGGAATTGATTAACTCTGAAGCATAAGTGAGTAAAGTTTCTCAGAAGTCAGAACAGTGTGAGTGCTGTATTGGTGTTTGGTTAAATGAATTAACTATGATTATATTGTTCCTAGGGATCTTTGCCTTTCAGCCAAGAAGAAGTTTTCTAACAAACAAGTGAAGCTCCAGCTGCATAGTTTTGGGCATCAGTAAGCAGGTGTAAGCATTTTTAGAGGAATGGACATCTTTTTCAGTGCCTCTGATATCACACATATTGGAGGCGACCTACTCTGTTTACTTATTTGGCTGCCCTGCCTAGGATACAAACTAAAGATTTTGTGATCTGAAAGATGGACAATGTGTCTTACATAGACAGTTCTGGTCTGAAACCCAGATATTCCCCTGAAGATGGCTCTGTGTTGGTTGAAATCAGCCTGCTTTCTGTGATGTTCTTCACGAGTTAGTTTCTGACTTCAGATAAGCAACTTCCAGGAAAGATGCAGAGTGAGGAGGATGTCTAGGTTAATATTTACTTGCTGTCAGTGGTTACTAAACCTTACACATTGAAAAGGAAAGCTGGACGAAAGTGCTGGGATTGTTGGTTTTTTTTAAGATTTTATTTTTACTTTTTCTCCCCAAAGTCCCCTGGTACATAGTTGTGTATTTTTAGTTGTGGGTCCTTCCAGTTGTGCTATGTGGGATGCCACCTCAGCATGGCTTGATGAGTGGTGCCATGTCCATGCTCAGGATCCGAACCATCGAAACCCTGGGCTGCTGAAGCGGAGTGCGCGAACTTAACCCCTAGGCCATGGGGCCGGCCCTTGGGATTGTTTTTTTTAAGTCTCTTTAAGGAAAGACGATTTAGTGGAGTTCTTATTATTTCATTCATTATTTATGATTCTTTTAAGATCTTCAAAGTGGGCTGATTTTGGTGTGTGAGACTGGTGGGCCAGAGTTCTAACTTCCCTTGGGCTGCAAGCAGCTTGTTTTTTCACTAATTAAAGGCTTCATGGCACAGATCTCCTCTCAGCATTTCCTTGCTGTAAGTCTGCAATTCCCCTTTTCTTCCACAGGTGGGCAGCATGTTCATAGCAGATGCCCATGAGAAAATTTCAGTACAGTAAGTGCCTAACATTCTTGTTCAGTGACTTTAACTTTAGTGTGGGCTCTCTGGCTAGATATGAGAATGTGAAATGTTACCTCTTGCTAATCTTTTTTTTTAAAGATTTTATTTTTCCTTTTTTCTCCCCAAAGCCCCCCGGTACATAGTTACATATCTTTAGCCGTGGGTCCTTCTAGTTGTGGCATGTGGGACACTGCCTCAGCATGGCCTGATGAGCGGTGCCATGTCCGCGCCTAGGATCTGAACCAGTGAAGCCCTGGGCCACCAAAGGGGAGCACACAAACTTACCCGCTCAGCCACAGGGCCGGCCCCGCTAATCTGTTACAGATTCAAACTTTTTTTGGTGATTTATCAAATGTTTCTTGGGTTTTAAACAATAATGGACCCTCAGAAACCCCTACTTTGGTCATATGTATTGAGCCCCAAGAACCTGAAAAACTGTTCCCAGTTATCTCTGGAATGAAATGAAAGAAGGCTGGGTATCTGAGCCAGTTAAGGACTTAACTGGATTAGGAGGGGAAAGTGAGAGGGAAGATAGTGAATAAAGTAGATAAGAACTAGTCCTAGGGAATTAAAGTTAAGACCCTGACTCTTTGCCTATGTATACCCTTTACATAAGCCCAAAAGGAAATCTAGGGGACATTAGAAACTTAAAAGGATTGATAATGAGGAACTGGAGTGAAATCTTATCTTGATGGTTATACTGTTTTTACTCCTCCACTATAAGAGCTGCTCTAATTTGTCCTCTTTCTTTAGAACCAATGAGGCCATCCTTCTGGCACTTTATGAAGCTGTTCATTTAAATCGCAACTTCATCACAGTGTTAGCCCAGGTTGGTTATATTAAAAACTCCAATCGTTTTTCTCCCTAAATTTCATACAGATTCACTCCGTTGAAAAACCTGTCTGGCTGTGCCTGTTTAAACATGCTTTGTGTTGGTAACTGGTAACAAAGAGTTGCATCAATCGTCTTTGCTTCATGCTATCCTCCAATATATATGATTCCATCTGGTGCTGAAGTGGGCCTGATAACACGCAAAGTTAATGTTTTTGACTAGTTTACTGATTCTATTAACCCAAATGAGTTTAAATTACTTCATTTAGCTTTCTGGAAATCCCTTGGTATTGTCTGCCCATATGGGTTTTTTGGGATCATATGGATTTTTTATATCAGGCTTTCTGCTTTCTAAACCACTATTGAGTTACAACCAGAGATAAAATAAGCCAGGTTACTTATCTTATGATCTCACCAATTTCCAGAGAAGAAAAGTAAAAAATATCCTGTCCAGCATCAGGTTGGCTGTTAACAGAAAAAATGACTGCAAATGCTAAAAGCAGAAAGTTGTAGAATGCTGAGTGCTGGGTCGCTTGCCTAAGGGATCTCTTCTGTAGTTCGTACTGAAGGGACTAAAATAGACTGAGAACTCAAGTGCTATCTGTGAAAGCTGTCTTAAAAAATTGATGGTGTTTTTATCTTAAAGTCAGACTGTTTAAAATATGTATGTAGATTTCTTTTAAAGGAGAGCTTGCTTACGCTTTTTTCTCCAAGGGCAAATGTGTATGGAATCCACTGATTAAGTTTTAACAAAAAATAAGATCATGCTTAAAAGGCAATGCGCTGGTTTGGGGTCTGCCTACAAGGACACTTATTTTTCATGACAAATAACATAGGAGACTTTATCCACTATTCTGTGTTCTTTGTCTGCTCTCTGAATTCTGTAGTTGATTTTAAAGGAAGTAGTGCGGAAGGTAAAATGCTGGTAAAGCTTTTGGGGAAGAAGAGAGTAGCTGTCATTCAGACCCAATGGATATTTCCCCCTTGTCTCTGCCTCCCCACCCTATACATTCTTATTTGTTGTGGAACAGGAAGGCTTCCATTTGCATAGATTTTAAAATAATACCTGTTATCCCTTGGCTCACCTGCATTTATTAGTCAACTATGTGGTCATCAGAACAGTCTATTGATCTGAGAGAATAGTCTCTTCCTAGGTTCGGATAGGACTGCAAATGCCCTTTTTTGGTAGAATAATGCTCTCAATTTGTTTACCCCAGTTTTTTATTTGTGTGGTTCTGCAGAAAAACTTATGTAATGGGAACTTAGATGCTTAAAGAAAAGTAGCCCACAGAGCTTCTTATTAGAGTTGGCAAGCATCAGTAATAAATCAGGTACTCATGAGAACGAAACGTAGAAGCAGTCCCTCCTCAGTGAGCTTTCTCTCTAATCACGAGGCTAGGAATACTAGAAGGGAAATTAAGTAGAGAATACTCAGAACTGACTTCTCTCTTTTCTTGTTTGTCTGTGTTATTTTTCAGAGTCATCCAGAAATGGGCTTGGTGACTACCCCTGTCAGTCCTGCTCCAACAACCCCAGCCACACCACTGGGGACCACTCCGCCCTCCTCTGATGGTAACCCCACTACCTCTTTTGTTGTCTTGATTAATATGATCTTGACTCTTTCAGGGTGGGCATAGCTGTGTTAAATGAAGAACACCAGTTGTTAATTCTTTCAATTAAGCAACTGTTTGAGGTACTGTCCTTTAGGACCCCAAAGCTCCAAAGAAAACTTGGGAAAAGATAGTCAAGTGCTTCTCTCTGTGTAAGAAGCTACATAACTCCAGCTTTTCCTCCTCAGGGAATGGTAGAACCAGGGAGTGCTAGATCTGAAAGGGACCTTTGAGATCAGTGATGCCTGTCCTGCCAAACTCGCAGGATACTTGTGAGGCTCAGATGAGATCTTCATTATGAATATCTCACTGAAATATTATCTCAAGTTACCATTTGACAAATGAGGGAATTGAGGCCAGAAAAATAAGTGGTTTGCCTAAGGATAGTGAGAGTTGACACTAAGAGCGAAGACATGGATCAGGCAGGGACTACGTTTATTTTGTTCACTACTATCTGCCCAGCATAGTGTCTGGCATGGTCGTTGCTTAGTGAATATTTGTTGAATAAATGAATGAGAAAGTGAACCTGGGATTTACTCACTGTTCTGTGTCTGCCAGCCACTCCCAGTTAGAAAACAACAAGCTTTGAGAGTATTATAACTTGGAGTTCGGTGGATATTTAAGCCTTCTCCCCCTAAAAATAAAAAAAATGTCCACTTTATAAATCTTATGGCTAGAGCGTAAGAAAAAGGTAACAGAAAAGAAATTATGAATTTTGCCCAACAAACTTCGTGTCATCTGAGTTGTTCTGTTGTAAGCTGAGTGTTTGATGGAATGTGTTAACCTAAAAATAATCTTCATTAATACTTGATGTTTTGCCTAAAATGTTAACCACATTTTGGGTAAAGAAGTACAGTAATTCTAACTCTGATCCTTTCTTTATGCCTCCTTACTTTCTGTATGTGAACTGATCTTTCATCTGCTTTCTCTGCTTTAAATTTTCATATAGCACCTGTGGCAGTAGCATTTCAACGTAGTACAAGCAGTATTGGTACAGAAGCATGACAGGGAAATGCCATTGACATTCAAGTCTATGGTAGCAAATTGGATTAGAATTGAAAGCCAAATTCCAAAATATATTAATGACAAGGAGCAAGTAGTAAGGATTGCCTTCTTGTCTCTGCTTATTCAGGTCCCTGAATAATCCAATGGAAATACTGTTCTTTCTCTTTAAGGTTGAAGCCTGCCTGGTTACCATGGATACCAAAAGCCATATATATGTCTGTGTATTCCATGAGTTCCATGTGATGCTGGGGTTTGGATGCTCCAGAGAACTGCCTTTCAAACTGTTCATTGTGAACACTTCCGCCTACACTCTTGATTATGCAATGGCAGGATTTGTGCTTACTTACGTACAACTAGTGAGCTTTTATTTTTTCTAGTGGGAAGATGGAGTCAGCCCACTTTCAAATGACTGTCTTCTTTGACAAAGAATTATGCTGGGAAGAATTATGAAGCTGAAGATCAAGGAATAACTCTTCCTTAGGAAGGAGATTTTATTTTGTGAGGGATTTTATTCTATCCTATTTTGCTCTTTTTCCTCTCTCCTAACTCATTTCCTTTCTGTAGGGGTCCTAAGTTTTATAACCTTGTTTTCAGATTTTGGTTTTTAATTATAGTGGTGCTCAGTAGCGCAGTGATATTTAAAGGTATGTCACTGGAGCCATTATTTTTAAAAGGCAGCAGTTTCGATGTAACATTTGTTCTCAGTTCAGACTTGACATTTGACAACTCAGCCTTGGCATGAAAGAACCTTCTGGTAAACTAAAAATACATATACTTCTATATTTCTGCATATTATATAAGATAGTTTTCCAGTTATTACTGCATTGTGAGTGGGGAAAAAAAGTCCCACTTACCAATTGGATGCCTCTTTGTATCGGACAAAGGAACGATTATGGGTTCTGAGCTTCAAAATAGGCTGTAGTTTGAAATGACGGTCTCAGGTTATTAACCCGTAACATGAATTAAGACCTTTTAGTATTTCAACATAAAAATATATTTGTCTTTTATTAGTTCTTGGAGGCTGAACTGTGGGAAAACAGCCAAGGGTTGGGCGTGCTAATTTATTCTCATAAGGCTTTTTGCTGTGCTTGCTGTGTATTATGGATCCATAATATGCAAATGTTTCCCATTGTTAATAAGTGTTCTCAGCATATATCGTAATAACTCCAGAGAGATCCATTATGGTTATGAATACATATTATGAGTGATATCCCAAACTCAGCTGAGTCTTAATGGGTGAAAATACAGCAGAAAGCTGTAGATTCTCTAGTTTGTCTGGGCCACCATGAACCTCATTTTGCTTATATATTATGTCTTAGACAGTGTAAAAGTGGTTAACAGGATGTCTAAGTGTAATTTAAGGTCTTAGAAACTTGAGAAAGCTACATTAAGACTGTTCTGTGTGGATCAGCCCTAGTCTGGTCCCTCATTGTTCATTAGGACTGTAGCTCAGAGCGTGGGGGCAAGGCATAGTTTCTCTTGGAAACAAGTGGCTGGGTATATAAAATTCAGTTCCCAGGGTGTCCCAATCAATAATGTCCACTCGTTTTCAGCCTGATATTCCTTTTCAGGTTCTCCTTCAGAAGGGAAGAGATTAAGGATTAGAATTTGAGTATAGTTTTGTGTTAACTTTTTTCCCTTCCATCTTGGGTATTTCCAGCCTAAATAAAGGCTTTTTCTCAAAATTGAGCAAGATTTCTCCTTATTAGGAATGAATTGTCATTTACTTTAAGCAGGACACTCATCAAAGCAGGGCTCATTTATATTCAGTACAAATCTTTCCCTTAGGTACAAATCAAAGTGCCTTTAAGAAGGACCCTGAACCCTTTTGGGTTACTTGGGGTTAGAAGTGGAATCAAAATACCATTCTTAGGATGTTGGGAGAAAAGCTCGATTCCTGGAGACTGGCCCTCCTAGATATGAGAGAAGGGAATTGGGCTTAATCTTGGGAGTAGGAAGGGCTCTAGAGGCCTAGGAAGAGTAGATAAAGGTTTTATGACAAGCACTGGTCCTCTCTCTGTTGTGGAAAAAGCTTATTTAGTGATTTCCTTGCCTGCTGGCAAATTGACTATGTAGGTAGAAGTGTTAGAGGGAATATGTTAGAGGCTAAGTGTATTTCATGTGTTCTATTCCAGTTATAAGTTCTGTGGAACTCCCACTGGATGCAGATGTACAGACCAGTAATCTACTGATAACCTTCTTGAAGTATAGCTCGATTGTCATGCAGGATACCAAAGGTAAGGCATGCTACTTTCGGGGCTCAGGAAGCAAGAGGTATTTCAGGCAGCTACTTAGCTAGAATCAAGGAGCAGCATTAATACTTTGAAGCTTTGACAGAATGAACCCTTGAGGCCTCTTGTGTAGGGTGATGTTCCTGATTACTGGAAAATAGTGATTTTTCACTCCAGATGGCAATTAGGTGGTGTTGGGAAAACCTGAAGCTGGAGGGGGAGTACTCCAAAATAGAACAGGAAAAAAAAAATTGGTCTGTATGGAAACCAGCAAGTCTTCTTAGCAGATTTTGGTAAGTAGATGCAAACCCTTTTGTGTGGGAAGTGGGGGGATTAGCACGCTCCAGGGAATTCCCTTTTGAGGACAAGAACAGAAAGCATCGGCTTATGGTGAGAATTAGAGGACTGGTGTGCAGAGCACAGTAGGAAGAGGTGAGATCCAGAGGCACTGTGCTGCTTTACACTTAGCACAGAAGTGTTCGTACCCATCCCAGAAATGCAGGGTGGAAGTGAGGGAGAAATGGGTGTTGGAAAAGTTTGAGTTTATTCTGTCTGGTTTCTCATTCTTCCTCTGTTTATGATTTTTCTATGATCTTGTAATTGGTGATAAGGTAGTAGAATAGTTGGACTAGGAGTGAGAAGGGATTAAGAGGAAACCTAGCAAATTCTACCCAGTGTATATCTTAGGTGTTTTTTTATGCTGGATTTATATGTGTGTTCACAATTTTTATTTATTATTTTTTTATTGTGGTAAAATATATATAACAAAATTTACCATTTTGATCATTTTTAAATGTATGATTCAGTGGCATTCAGTACCTTCACATTGTTGTGCAACCATTGCCAGCATCCATCTCCTGAACTCTTTTCATCTTGTAAAACTGAAACTCTGTACCCATTAAACACTAAGTCCCCATTCTCCACATTCTCCTCTTCCCCTAGCTGCTGGCAGCCACCATTCTACTTTCTGTTTCTATGAATTTGACTACTCTAAGTACCTCACGAAAGCAGGATATATCCCAGTTTTAAGATTCTCTGGAAATAAACCTTTTATTTCATGGTGACACTGAGGTAGCATTTTTCCTTCAATTTTTTTGAATGAAAAAATCTCCACTATATAGTCGTCCCTCAGTATCTGCAGGGAATTGGTTCCAGGAACCCCCACAGATACCAAAGTTCGTGGGTACTCAAACCCCTTATGTAAAATGATGTATGTAGTGCAATGAATATAGTTGGCCCTGCATATCTGCAGGTTTCACATGTGCAGATTCAGTTCAATTCCTCATATCTACAAAATTTTGATCTGAGGTTGGTTGAATCTGAGGATGTGAAACCCACAGATAAGGAGGGCCGTCTGTACAGAGAAGTTGAAAGGATTGTAAAGTGACCACTCATACCCGTTAACATTTTGCCATATTTGATTTGTCTTTAAATTTCTTTCCGTGTATTCTTGTTATTTTGGTTCAACCATTTTAAAGTAGGTTGCAGACATCATTCTACTTCACATTTTAAGTACTGTGGCATGTATCTCAATGTTGAAGACATTTTCCTAGCTATCCATTATAACTAGGAAAATCAACAATAATTCTCTAATGTCGTATAATGTTCAGTCCATATTTAGTTTTTCTCAATTGTCCCAAAAATGTTTTTCATAGCTGATAGTTTTTTAACTACGCCTAGCATTTTAGTGAACATTTTTATTAGCATTTTATTAGGTACCTACAGTTTTGATCCAGTGGGCTTTTCCCATTTAGAGTGATTTTTTTTCTAATTACAAAAGTAACTGAAATATTATTTGTTAAGAATTAAAACAGTCTAGCTATGGTTACTTAGAAAGTGAAAGTCCTTTGGAATTAAGTTCTTGGGAGTTAATCACTTCTGACAATTCGTGTATATGCTTCCTTTATAAACCTTCTTTATAAGAATCTTTAAATCCTATTTTAGGAACCAGCTCTTCTCTCTGCTCAGTAGTTGAAGTTTGGGTTCTTAAATTATAGTCCATGTTTGTGAGGTGCTTTAAGATTCCCTTAGGCATAAAGTATGCTTTATGGCTCTGATATGCCAAGTGGGCTGGACAGGTTTCTGGTATGAGAATTTTCAGAAATTCCAGAATGGAGCTGAAAGGCAAGAGCTGCATAAGAAGGTAAGACTGGGATTTGGGAGCTTTTGGAATGAGAAGGAAACATTGGTAGGCAGAGATAGAGATCTAAAAGGTAAATATGGGAAATGAAGAATTGTCAGAGTTAAAAGGAGCCTGGGTGGGCAGAATCTAAACCCCGTTATGCTCAGACATATTGCATTAACTTTTGGAGATTTCTGTCTTGCAAACTTAGACTTTTTTCTTCTGTTATGCCTTGTGAGTGTGCTCTTTCAAGAGAGAAAGCTATATAAAGGGATGAGACAGATGCAAGTAGTCCATGTCACAAACTCCTAACATAGAGAGTCAATTGGGAGCTGCAGAGTTGGTGACCCTTTGAGTCCTGGCAAGTGAGATCTGGCAGGCAAGGATAACAAGACTTGTGTATCAGTGTTTCCTGAGGCCATTGCTTCTCCTTTATGGGAAGAAAGAATTTCTTCCTTTCTCTAGAAATATCACAGCAAGCATAGAAGAGAGAAACTGCATGGATGTGACCCTGAAAATGTACTTTTAGCTTTGCTTGATGTAACACAGTGAATTGAGGCCCTTGGAACTCAATTGTCGCTTTAATGATTATATAAGCTTCTTTGTCCTTGTCATTTTGCCATACATAAAATGGAAGGCAGAATTGAGAGCAGATTAATTGCAGTATAGATGGTCTCAAGCTGTCTCTCTAAACTCAGACTGGGTTAGGTCTTTTGCCAAAAGGCAGCCTAAATGTGGCAAGGGGCAAGGTTTGGTATGATGAAGAATTAGTTTGAAAAATGACTCCTGTGTGGCTTCATTGGCCCGGCTCTCTTCCTGTCTATTAAGCTCCTGACCTTCTGCATGCCCTGGCTAACAGGATCTCATTATGTTTTTAGGAGCAATAGAAGCAAATTTTTCTTGGCTTTGCTCCCATCCCCCCCCCCCCCGGCCTTGATATTGTCTCTTTCTTTTTTATTATATACCGATAAAAAGATACTTTTTTGGCAGGGATGGGGTGAGGAAGATTACCCTGAGCTAACATCTCCTGCCAATCTTCCTGTTTTTTTGTTTTTTTTTTTTGCTTGAGAAAGATTAGCCCTAAGCTAACATCTCTGCCAGTCTTCCTCCACTTTGTATGTGGGTCACTGCCACAGCATGGCTAATGAGTAGTGTGCACCCAGGATCTGCACCAGTGAACCCTGGCCGTGGAAGCAGAGTGTGCCAAACTTAACTACTACACCATGGGGCTGGCCCCCCCAAAAAGATAATTTTAATGTATACGAATGTTAAGTTATAAAGCTGATAATGAATATAATAAATAGCATTATTATGAAGTATAATAAAATGAACATGTGAATTCACCACCCAACTTAAGAAATTATTAATGCTGTTGAAGCCACCTGTGTTTCCCCTCCTCTTCAGTCATTCCTTTTCTGTTCTCCAGAATTTTGTGTTTATCGTTCTCTTGATTTGGCTTTGCTTTCAAAGCATGGCTGTTAAGTTTGCACGTTCCACTTCAGCGGCCCAGGGTTCACCAGTTCGGATCCTGGGTGCGGACCTACACACCGCTTGTCAAGCCATGCTGTAGCAGGCGTCCCACATATAAAGTAGAGGAAGATGGGCATGGATGTTAGCTCAGGGCCAGTCTTCCTCAGCAAAAAGAGGAGGATTGGCAGCAGATGTTAGCTCAGGGCTGATCTTCCTCAAAAAAAAAAAAAAAATAGACATTAGGGGGCTGGTCCCGTGGCCGAGTGGTTAAGTTCTGCACTCTGCTTCGGCCGCCCAGGGTTTTGTCGGTTTGGATCCTGGGTGTGGGCATAGCATTGCTCATCAAGCCATGCTGAGGCAAGCATCTGACATGCCACAACCAGAAGGACCCACAACTAAAAATATGCAACTATGTGCTGGGGGGCTTTGGGGAAAAAAAGGAAAAAATAAAATCTTTAAAATAGACATTAGGCAAAAATATTAAAAATATGTAGATATATTATGCATAGACTTCAAGTTGATGCATCAAAGTCTTAAGAGCTATGACAGCTGGGTGGTATGATTAAACTTGGATTTTTAAAAAATAAATTTTATTTATTTCTTTATTTTTGTTAAGGAAGATTAGCCCTAAGGTAACGTCTGTGCCAGTCTTCCTCTACTTTATATGTGGGTCGCTGCCGCAGTGTGGTGACAAGTGCTGTTAGGTCTGTGCCCAGAATCTGAACCTGTGAACCCAGTCTGCCGAAGTGAAATGCACCAAAGTCAACCACTACACTATGGGGCCAGCCCCTAAACTTGGTTTTTATTGTCCTTTTTTTGTGCTTTTCTGAATTAAAAAAAAAAGTTTTAATGGAATGTCCCTTATTTTTGTATTCAGAAACACTGTCTTTTTTTTTTTTAAAGTGGAGAGAGAGCTGCTGGCTTTCCTATGGGAGTTGCTGATCAGCTTTTGGGGAAAGGGAGGATAGTGCCAGAGAAACTCTGTGGCCAGAGATAGGTAGAAGAGTCTCATGAATCTAGTTTTGCATAGGTAGGGCATTTCTCTAGGGGCTCTGATGTAAGCTATGGAGAATGTCAGATAGGTATTATCATCATTACTCTTTTTGTACTGCCTATCTCTGAGGAGAAGTGAATGTATTTCTGGACTACAACCCCCATTGTGCCTTCTAATTGTCAAATTTTAGTTGATAGATTCCATCTTTGAGGAAGTAGCAGGTTAATATAAGGATGAATTCTATTCGCTCCACTTCTGTAGCACTGTAATCTGTTAATAGATCTCTCCAGAATGGACTTCAGTCTGGGTCCTATCAAAGCTAATTTGAAGTATCGTAAGCTGTTTCTCTGTTTTGGATATGCTGGTATGACCCTCTTTTTACCTCCATTTCACCTCCTCACCCACAAAGATCCTGGAAAGTAAATAAGCTTTGATGGTTCTGGTAGTTGGCAGTGATGGAGTAGCTCTTTCTTGGCCATTTGTGTGGGCTTAGAGCCCCACTATCGAGGTTGCCTTCATCTTTTTTAATGACTAGAATGTGAGTTCTGGGAGACCAGGAACCTTTGTTTAGTTCAGTGCTATATATAGTGCTTGGCACAGTACCTGCCACATAGTAGGTACTAAGAAAATATTTGTAGAGTGACTAACTTTGGCAGGAAGAAAAATGGCTAAGAGTTCATAGCTTTCCTGGTCATAAGTAATATGCACAGTGCAAGGAGAAGCATGGGCTGAACCCTGGTCTCCAGTTAATTTCTTTCTGATTCTACTGTCAATTTGTTGTGAACAATTATAAAACTCTTCTAGATTTTGTGGTAAATGGGTATGAATGATGGTGCTTATGGCTGGTGGATGGGGAGGGGTGGGAAAGGGAATGGACCTGAGTATTCAGAAACCAAAGGGCTGACACGGAAGCAAAGGGCATGGCCCTGATTTGGGCCATGGTGGCAGGAACGATGACAATAATTAGATGACTCTCAGGAACGTGGTTGGCCGTCCATCAGAGTATCAGAATATTTAAGAAAAAAATCTTCTGGGAGAATTCTTTTGCCTAGAAGAAAAGCAAAAATTACTCTGGTAGAACCTTGATTTTCATTCATGAATTTTGTGGGAGAGTGAGGGTAGTGTGAATGTTCTTTTTGATAATACACATGTTTATTCTCTATAGAAACATGGTCCGGATGATTTAGAGAGAAGGGTTTATTTTTCTTTACAGATGAGCACCGGCTTCACAGCGGCAAACTCTGTCTGATTATCCTTACATGTATTGCAGAGGTAGGTCTCACCAATCTTCTGGTGTTAACTGATCTCTTACAAAGTGCTATCTTCTTCTGCCCTTCTTCTCAGGTTCCTGACTTTTAGGGTCCTAAAGCCTGGGAGAGAAAATCTTTTCCCTTTGTATTGTTAGTCTCCTCCCACTATACTGTAAGCTCTGATAGCAGGTATTTTGTCTCCTTCACCAGAGTGTTCTCAGTGTCTGGCATATAGTAGAGGCTCAATTAGTATATGTTGCATGAATTAATAATGAATTGTGATATGATAACTGCTATAATTGAGAAATGGAGGATTCTAGCACTTAAGAGTTTTACACAAGAGAGTTAAGCCTCTTTAGGAAATATAATCCTGCCCCTTTGAAGCTGCTCATGTTGGGTCTTTTGCATTTAGCAAAGTGAAATAAAGAGCTCAGGTTTCCTGTCGGGGGAGGTGGAGAGAAAAGCCAAAAAGAGGGATTGGAAACTGAGTAAAGTTGGGCTGGTTGCAGTTTGGTGAAGAACAAGAGCCGAAGGGGAAAAAGAAGAGGTGCTTTGGCTTTGTAAGGAGGCACTGTAGGTTGGGTTAATCAGGCCTGAACTCACCCTGGATCTTGGTGGCAACACAGGTATGGCAGAACTTAAGTCAATTTAGAGCTAAATTTGTAACTTCAACCTCCCCCTTCCCTGTTCCTTGTTCTGATCTTTTCTCTCTTAAGAAAAATAGTAAAGATGGTACATATGGAGTAAAGATCTTTCTCAGTCTTTCCTTTTTTATGTTCTCTGTGAAGAGATGACCTACTTTTCACCAGGTGAGGGGTAGCTGATTACAGAAGAGCTGATTATTAGCAGTGGGCCTGGTGTAATTGCTTTTCAAAAATCTTTCTAAGAAAATCTTTAAAGAAGTTGTTTTCCACAAATTGTAACAGTTCATAGTAATTGGAGTCTGTAAGCATGTCAGATCTTCCCAAAAGGTGTTGGGAATGGGCCAAGGGATGTTTATTACTAATCCATGGTGAAAAGTTTTTGATTTTCCATCAGTCTTCAGCAAAGCCAGAGATAGATGGGGTCTTGCCTCCTGCTATGCTGCCTGTGTAGCAGTTTTCTCATGTTCTGCCAAGCCCATTCCCTGCAGAGCGCAGACCTTTCTTCTTAATTGTAGATCCTCATTTGGAGCCTGCACATGCATCGTGCGGCCCCTATGAAAGCCTTCAAGCTGTCACAAACAGAGCAGGCTCCTTAGGCAGATGGGAAGGAAGAGAGAATAGGAAAACAGATTCCTCTGAGCATTTGCCTTAAGTCCCTGTGCCTTAATTTTTATTTTTTGTAATTTGCTTAGAGATTTTTGACCAGTTAGAGATACACTGGGAAATTACACCCAAGTAAAATCTCATGGCTTAAGTGGGATTTGACTTAAAGGCTCTAGGCTCATCCCATTAGCTCTCCAACTGGTCCTTGAAAGTAGTTCTTAAAGTCCAAGGATTTGTATGAAGTGGGATAGATTATAAACTGAGATTCTTAAGTATAGCTCTCATTCCTTACTTTTTCTCTCTCTCTCTCTCTTTTTTAGGATCAGTATGCCAATGCGTTTTTGCATGATGACAACATGAATTTTCGAGTAAACTTACATAGAATGGTAGGTGTGACTTTTTGCTTCTCATTTTTTCGTAGAGGAAGTTTTTTTCTGTTGGCAAGTTCAGGGAAGATGAAATTGATCCTATTTAGAACAAATGTGGGTGGAATGTTGTGCTAAAGGGCTCTTGCTTGACTGCTGTTCAACAGACCCATGCCTGTTGTTGAGATTTTTTGTGTGTCATGGAGCTGTTTCTTACTTAAGCCAGGATGGAAAGATCCACAACCATATACCCATGGCAGTAATATTGGAATGTATCAGTAACATAGATTTCAACAAGGAGATGGGCCCAATCCTTTTGTTTTGAAAATGTAGTATGATCTTTGATTAGTTAAGACTAGATACTGTTTTATTTATTTTAAAGGTGGGGGAAATAGAATATGAAGGATCAGGGAATTTCCTAAAACTAAAACCTGGAAGTATGCTAAAAAATATTACATTGAGGTCTATGTTTGAAACTCTCTTTTTTTCTTGCAGCTGCTACTGTTGCTGCCTCTACACAGTGACCTTCTCTTCTTTTTCTTAATTATTATTTTATCAAAGAAAAATACAAGTATACCCCTTTTGTTGTTAGCAATGTCACTTGTATAGATAAAATCAAAGCAAAAACAACAGCCTTCCCATTTTAGTATGCCCTGATGCCATTTGGGGCTATTGTCTTGCTGTGAATCGTGTTTTTGTACAGGCCTGCACTGATAACTGAGAAGCATTTACAAGTTCTCCCTGCTCCATCCCACTCCCACCACTAGCAAAAGAGAAAGAAAAGTTAGCAACTCTGTACTAGTGATTTTATTTGCATGAAGAACATGATGATGAGCCATTGATGTCAGTTCAGGTTTCTACTAATTTCCTTTCTTTTTTGTGTGAAGCCTATGAGACATAGGAAGAAGGCAGCAGACAAGAACCTTCCCTGCCGTCCTTTGGTATGTGCAGTACTAGGTGAGTATCATCAAAATTGGTACTTTTCTGAGCTGGTGACAGGTTTTCATGATTAAGATATGGGCTGGATCCTGGTTGATGTGCTTCTTCCTCAGAGAAGAAGTTAGTAGTTATGTTTCTTCCCTGGCCCAAGAAACCGTGTTTATCGTTGAGTTTGATAAAGCAACCCCAGTGAATAGAGTGCTTAATTAAAGGGTGCTCTTGTTCAAAGGAAAAGATCTTTCCGGAGAGACAGGGCTAAGTCTAAGCTTGATATGTGATTTATATTTGTAAAATATTTTACTCCTGATCAAGATTTCAAATTCTTTCCTCCCTTTCTTGGTCCAAATTGATGCGTCAACTGGTCACGAGGCTTAAAGTTCAGGGTTCAGACATACAAAACTTCCTTTGAGTAAATTAAGCTGAGATGAGGCTGGCAGAACTGACAGGTAGGGGGTTGTATCTTAGGTAGTGTTTTTTTTTTTTTTTAATTAAGATTATGATAGATTACAACCTTGTGAGATTTCAGTTGTACATTATTGTTAGTCATGTTGTGGGTACACCACTTCACCCTTTGTGCCCTCCCCCAACCCCCCCCTTTTCCCTGGTAACCACCGATCAGTTCTCCTTGTCTATATGTTAACTTCCACCTATGAGTGGAGTCATATAGAGTTCATCTTTCTCTGTCTGGCTTATTTTGCTTAACATAATACCCTCAAGGTCCATCCATGTTGATGCGAATGGGACGATTTTGTCCTTTTTTATGGCTGAGTAGAATTCCATTGTGTATATATACCATATCTTTTTTATCCAATCATCAGTTGCTGGGCACTTAGGTTGGTTCCACGTCTTGGGTGTTGTAAATAATGCTGTGGTGAACATAGGGGTGTATGGGACTCTTGGAATTGCTGATTTCAGGTTCTTAGGATAGATACCCAGTAGTGGGATGGCTGGGTCATAAGGTATTTCTATTTTTAACTTTTTGAGAAATCTCCATACTGTTTTCCATAGTGGCTGCACCAGTTTGCATTCCCACCAACAGTGTATGAGGGTTCCTTTTTCTCCACAACCTCTCCAACATTTGTCACTTTTGTTTTTGGATATTTTTGCCAATCTAACGGGTGTAAGGTGATATCTTAGTGTAGTTTTGATTTGCATTTCCCTGATGATTACTGATGATGAACATCTTTTCGTGTGTCTATTTGCCATCCTTATATCTTCTTTGGAGAAATGTCTGTTCATGTCCTCTGCCCATTTTTTGATCGGGTTGTTTGTTTTTTTTGTTGTTGAGTTGTGTGAGTTCTTTATATATTATGGAGATTAACCCTTTGTCGGATAAGTAGCTTGTACATATTTTTTCCCAATTAGTGGGCTGTTTTTTTGTTTCAATCCTGTTTTCCTTTGCCTTGAAGAAGCTCTTTAGTCTGATGAAGTCCCATTTGTTTATTCTTTCTATTGTTTCCCTCATCTGAGGAGTTATGGTGTCTGAAAAGATTCTTTTGAAACTCATGTCAAAGAGTGTACTGCCTATATTCTCTTCTAGACGACTTATTGTTTCAGGCCTAATCTTTAGGTCTTTGATCCCTTTTGAGTTTATTTTTGTGAATGGTGAAAAAGAGTGGTCAATTTTCATTCTTTTACGTGTGGCTGTCCAGTTTTCCCAGCAGTATTTGTTGAAAAGACTTTCTTTTCTCCACTGTATGCCCTCAGCTCCTTTGTCGAAGATTAGCTGTCCATAGATGTGTGGTGTTATTTCTGGGCTTTCAATTCTGTTCCATTGATCTGTGCACCTGTTTTTGTACCAGTACCATGCTGTTTTGATCACTGTATATCTTAGGTAGTTTTGTCTGCCCAGAATTCTGCATTTTCCTCAGGGAAATGATCTTGACTCATAATCTAATTTGACTTGGATATTCAACCCTAGTTCCTAGATCTACTTGATTTTAGAAACAGTAATTAAGACTATATAATAAGCCTTTATTGACCCAAAGCCCCACAGACTATTTCAGTCAATATTTGTCAAACCAAGTGTGATAGTGAGATGAGATAGACTTTATAGCTTTAGAGCTGAATCTCCGGTCTCACAGATGTGATCCATAATTTCTTCTCTCTTGCTTCATCACTTGGTTCTTAGAAAATGATTTCTCTTTGGCATTTTGCATTAGTGCCATGGTATGAAATTTCTGTACAGAGAAATCTCCCTTGTATTTGAATTTATTGGCAGGTCAAGGTATCCTTCTGGAAGTAGGAGAGCGAACTAATTTTCTTGTTACTTTACAAGTGGCAGGTGGTGAAAAGTGTTGCAAAAAGTGCTGGGTATAAAATAAATTTAAGTGCACGTGAATAAAGATGTGGTTAGTGGATGCCATTCAGCATGAGTGCAAGGTGTACTCAGAAGGTTTTTTTTCCAACTCAAAGACAGGGAATGAATTTCATTCTGATCTAATTTTTCTTCTTTCCCCATTCAGACCTGATGGTAGAGTTTATTGTAACACACATGATGAAGGAGTTTCCTATGGATCTCTATGTGTAAGTACCATGGTTCATTTAATGTGTGCAAATCTATCTTATAGAATTGAGTGATAGGAAATTTATAGTCACAAAATTTCTGTGTATGTAATTCACTTCAGGAAAAACACATTTGTGTGTGAAGAAGTGTCAGGGAACATTTTATGACCTGGATTTGTATGTCTTTCTAGAAGGATGAGAAAGTGCAAACCACAATTTGGATTCTGCACATAACTTCATTATCACTTTTAGGCACATTGTATGAAGAGCGGGGCCAATGCATTGAAGTATGCATCATGTGTCCTGTTGTCATCCAAAGATATGGTCAGTACACTTAGTCATTCCTGGGCTTTGGATCAGAGTAGCCAGCAGTAGTTAAAAGGTAGGGAAAGGCCAGAGAGGTAGAGCTTCTGGTCCATTCTTAAACTGCATTGTCGTAGCAGCCTAGTCAGAACTCTGCCAGCTAGGCAGATTATGTATATAGTGGCCTGGGTGGGAAATTCCTGCCTCCTGAGGAGATCTGATTGTCTGTCACAATTCTTTACAACCAGTACAACTAGAGGTAACTGAAAATCATCTTTTTTTTTTGGAGAAAGATTAACCCTGAGCTAACATCTGTTGCCAATCTTCTTTTTTTGCTTGAGGAAGATTAGCCCTGAGCTAACAACTCTGCCAGTCTTCCTCCACTTTGTATGTGGGTTGCTGCCACAACATGGCTGATGAGTGGTGTAGGTCTGTAACTGGAATCTGAACCTGTGAACCTGGGCTGCTGAAGTGGGGCGTGCTGAACTTAACCACTGGACCATGGGGCTGGGCCCCGAAAATCATCATATTTTAATAAAGTTTAAGCCTTTAGGCTTTCTCTCGCCTTTGCTCTTTCTGCAGTCTTCTTATTTTTAATGCCCAGGAATAGCTGTGCCACATTAGTGTGATCTCAAATATGTATATTATCTTTATTCCTTAAAAAGCATTTGAATTGAGTGTGACAACAGAATAGATACCTCCATTTTTTTGAGCAAGAGAGCAGTTTGGTGCACAGCAAGCTAAGTGTACCTTATTCCAATGCCAGGCCTGGGATCTAAGGAGATGTAAAGGATTGTACTCTGAATAGAGTAGACCTGCAGCTTTTTAGACTTCTTGTAGGCTATATAGTCTTTGTTTCCTAGGTCTGAAATAATGATACAAATTTTGCTTTTAGGTAAGTATGTTGTAGTTTGCATTTTTCCATAACTTTTGAGTATTTAGAAATAAGCCTGATATTTTATTTCAATTCAAAGACCATGAAAGTTCCTTTTTTATATCACTTGCCAGATGAATTTTCTACTTGTTTTAGATAGGATAGCTGAACCTCACTACTTTAGGGATCAGATTTGTTTTGCTACAGACTTTATTTCTATCTTGAATATCTTACGTTCTAGTTTTAGAATATGCTATTTGCTTTGTAGTATATTAGTATAGTCTCAGTTTCCTCATTTTCCAAGTAAGGAATCTGAGGCTCTGGAGATTAAGTGCTTTGCCGAGGGTTATTCTGTTAGTAGGTACCATCACCTGGACTTGAACCCAGATTTTCCTTCTGTAAATCTGAGGCTGTTACCATCCCTTCTCTGGTGTATTGGTTATCTATTGCTATGTAATCAACTACCCCAAAACCTAGTGGTTTAAAACAAACATTTATTATCTCACGGTTTCTCTGGTTCAGGAATCCAGGAGCAGTTAGCTGGGTACTTTTGGCATAGGGTTTCTCACGAGGCTGCAGTCAAAGTGTTAGCAAGGCATCTGAGGCTCTACTGGGGCTAGAGAATTTGCTTGCAAGCTCACTTACATGGTTGTTGGCAAACCTCAGTTCCTTGCCACGTGAGCCTTTCCATAAGGTTGCTCAACATGCAGCTGGCTTCCCTCAAAGTAAGTAATCCAAGAGAGAAAGAAAAGGAGAGTGAGAGCCCAGGATGGAAGCCATAGAGTCTTTTATAACCTAATCTCAAATGGCATGCCATTTCCATTGGTCACACAGACCAACCCTGATGCAGAATGAAAAGGGACTATACAAGGTTATGAATGCCACAAGGTAGGGACCACTGGGGGCCATCTTGCAGGCTGGTTACTACAGTTGCACAAATTGCATCATCAAGATTCAAACTCAAATCTCTCTGACCCCAGAGGCTGTACTCTTAACTTCTGCTGTAATAAGTGACAAAGGAAAGGTTTGTACAGGGCAACTAATGCTGACTGGGGCATCAGAGAACATATCAGAGAAGGTTGCATTAGACCTGAGTCTTGAAGAAGTGGGAGTTTTCTATGTGGAGGAGTCGGGGTGCACCTCTTATGTGCACCGAGCAGGGGACCAGCATGTTCAAAGGCTTGGAGGCTTGAATGTTTGGCATGGTTGGAGAATAGAAAGTAATTCAAGATGATTAGAGTGTTGAGTGCATGGAGGAGGGATAGGAGAGATTAAGTGGTTGATGGGGCACAGTTGAAGGTGGGGATGACATGACAAGATTATGTGTTCAGTAGATAGAGTTACCGGTATGTATCTCTCCACCCAAATCCTCACATTCCAGCCAGTGACTAAATATTTTAACTCCCTCCTCCCCCTAGTTCCTAACTTTTTTTGTGTTGCCTTGCTTTCTCAGTTACTTTTTCTACCTTCTCCCTAGTTGAATATCCTGAGGTTAGGGAAGATGGAGAAGATAATGAGGCGTTGAGGTAACAGAGGCTGGGCAGAAGGTTCCACCCTCAGCCTGAATTCACTTTCTTCATTACTACCCTTGGGCATATTTCCAGATCTTCGTTCCCCACCCTCCAGCCCTCTTTCCAGTTTTTGGCATTTGGAGCATCAAGTCCTTTTTAGGTGAACTTATCTGTTCCCAACTGGGCATCAGGCCAGGTTGCTACTCTCACTTCTCATTATGTACTGCTTTTCAGCAGCATACAGCAGAATGAGAAATTGAAAGCAAAATGAATTTCTGCCATTTCAGATAAATTTATAATCCTCCTGGTAAAATATGAAGAAATATGGACTGTGAAAAGACTTAATACTCAAAGCCAGAATCTGGGTCAGAAACGAAACAATTTCACATCTGTGTATGAATGCTGTAGGTACAATAATAATGAGGAAAAGTGCTTATACAAAAAAAAAAAAAAGAAACGCCTTGCCTAGAGCAGTAAGAGATGAGAAAACCCAGCCAATTTCCACTTCTGGCTGTACTTCTTGATTCTTGCTGCCACCCCTACTGCTGCCACAGGATTTGGGAGTGAGGGGAAATAGTCTCTGAGGAGAGTAAACTCTCCTTTAAGTTATTCTTATATGGAAAACTTGGACTCTTTGTAAATCACAGATTCCCAAACCTGTAGGTAGGCACCAGAAGAAAGTAGAGACTTCATTGGACTCTACAAGAAGATTTCAGATTAAAGTGGAATTGTCTTGTGTTGAAATAGAAAATGATTACATGTATAAAGGAAACTCCCCAAGAGTAAATTTGGAGTCATTCAGCCAGTATATATAGTTAAAACCGTAGCAGTTGTTTAAATTTTCTTTCTGCCTGGTAACAGTATAAGTTATTGAGACCACAAGGTTAATGATGTTACCTGTTAGGTGGCTGCAGAGGCAGGAACAGAGCCTAGGAACAGTGCAAGAGTGGATATTGATAGCTTTTGAATGCTAGGGTGTGGTGGCAGCAGGGGTCAGGGACATAGATAGTATGTCACTGCTGTTCTGCAGTGGCTCAGTGTTGGGATGGCATTGTCAGCAGAGCCAAGGTACAGGCTGTTTGGATCCAGGCCATGTGAAAAGTGCTGGCATCCAGGAATGTGCTGTGCCTGAATGGTCATGCATGGGCAGCCTCCAGCCACCCTTGCTGACTGCAACAAAGCTTTCAGCACCAGGGACCTAATCACTATCACTTTAATGAGGACGTTAATAGAAGAGTTTGTATATTCCTAAGTTAAATCATGGCTCAAACAAGGGCATCCTGTAGCTAGTGACAATTGCATTGAACAGGAGATCACACCACAATTTCTAAAAATCAACAAATGATTTGGAAACCATTAGGATGATTTACACTACAGTTTATATCACTTAGTAAGTAGTATTGATACAGATTATTTTATTTAGAGAGTGAAAGGGAATTACTTAAAATTTTTGATGTATGTATTGATTTGTATGTTAATTTATATTTATTTGTGGTTTGTAAAATATTTTTAATATCACTCCTGAGGATACTGAAGTCTTTTTTTAAATTTTTTTTTAAGATTTTATTTTTCCTTTTTCTCCCCAAAGGGCCCCCGGTACATATTTGTGTATTTTCAGTTGTGGGTCCTTCCAGTTGTGGCATGTGGGATGCCGCCCCAGCATGGCCCGATGAGCAGTGCCATGTTTGCACCCAGGATCCGAACCAGTGAAGCCCTGGGCCGCCGAAGCAGAGCATGTGAACCCAACCACTTGGCCACGGTGCTGGCCCCTTGTTTTTGTTTTCATTTGAGGAAGATTAACTCTGAGCTAACATCTGCTGCCAATCCTCCTCTTTTTTGCTGAGGAAGACTGGGTCTGGAGCTAATATCTGTGCTCATCTTCCTCTACTTTATATGTGGGACACCTGCCACAGCATGGACTGATAAGTGGTGCATAGGTCTGTGTCTGGGATCTGAACTGGTGAACCCCGGGCTGCCAAAGCGGATCGTGCAAACTTAACCACTATGCCACCAGCTGGCCCCCAAGGTTTTTGTTTTTGGGTGGAGTTTTTTCCCCTTTGACAAAAGTAGAAGGGACATTAACTTGATTTAAGAAAGGCAGTGTAAAACCTTGAGTATTTAGCTTCTTGGTTCACAGATTAACTTACTGATTTTCTCCGTATTATTCTCTCATGATCTGCCCATTGTGTTTCTAGACCCCCACTGTCAGGCACTTATAAACAAGATTGCAGTGGGATGAGCAGTTTGATGAGTTTTGACAAATGTATACATCTTTGTAATAACTATCCCAGTCAAGATATGAAACATTTCTTATCTGCCAAAAAGTTCCTTCATACCCTTTTCTAGAGGATGCTAAAACTTTAAAAATGAATTGTTTTAAATGGTGGAATTTTTAGCCGTGAAAGTAAAATATAATTGTAGAAAATTTGGAGAAAAGAGAAAAAGAGAACAGAACTCACCTATAACCCTACCATCCAAAAAAGGCAACCACTGTTAACATCAAAATTATCTTTTTGCTATGCATTTGAATATAGTTGTGACTATTATCATAGATTTAATTGTATATAATTTTGCATGCTGTTTTTTTCATTTACTGTTATAAATGTCTTTTTGTGTTGTGAAAAATTCTTCATGAATGTACTTTTTTAAGAGCATAGTGGGGTTCTGTTATGTGTACGTGTATTAGTTGGCTTGGGTTGCTGTAACAAAAAAAAAACACAGATTGGGTAGTTAAACAATGGAAATTTATTTTCTCACTATTCTGGAGGCTGGAAGTCCAGGTCAAGGTGCCAGCGCCTGTGGTTTCTCCAGAGTCCTCTCTCCTTGACTTACAGATGGCTCCCTTCTCTCTGTGTCCTCACACAGCCTTTCTTTGTGTGAGGTCACTCCTGTCTCTTCCTCTTCTTATAAGGAAGCCAGTCCTATTAGATTAGGGCCCCGCCCTTTTGACTTGATGTGACTTTAATCACTTCCTTAAAGGCATTGTCTGCAAATACAGTCACATTGGGAGTTAGGGCTTCCACATAGGAATTTTGGAGGGACATAATTTAGCACATAAGTATAATGATTTCCTTGCTGTTCTCTCAGCATTGGACATTCTTTCCACAGTTGTTTCCAATTTTCTTTTATTCTAAATAAGATTATGATGAATATCTTTTCGTATAAAGCATTTTTTTTTTTGCATTCTGGATTAAAACTAAGTTCTCTGGGGTGGCATTAGTGAGTCAAAGGATATAAACATTAAGATGATAAACAGAGATTACCAAATTGCCTCCTAAAAGGACTCTGTACCAATTTTACTTTCTCTGATAATGTATGAGTGGCTATTTTGCTGTACCTTTGTCAGCATTAAAATCTATATTAATTTGATATGCAAAAAACAGAATCTTGTTTTAATATGCCTTTTTAAAGTGAAGTTGAACATTATATAAAAATGTTAACTTTTTATATTTCCTCTCTTGGGGATGAGGGTATTTGTTGACCATTTCCTTTGCTCTTCTTTGTTATTAGGAGTGTTGTTATTGTTTCTTATCAAATTATATAAACATATATATTAAGCATAATACCCCTTTTATATGATTTGCTGCAAATGGAATTTCCCATATTGTTTGGCTTTTAATCATTAATTTTTTTTTTTTTTTATCATGGGGCCAGCCCTATGGCCGAGTGGTTAAGTTTGTGCACTCTGGTTCAGTGGCCTGGGGTTTGCTGGTTCAGATCCTGGGTGCAGACCTACATGCTACTCATCAAGCCATGCTGTGGCTGCATCTCACATAGAAGAACTAGAATGACTTACAACTAGGATATACAACTATGTATTGGGGCTTCAGGGAGGAAAAGAAAAAAAGAAAAAGAGGAAGATTGGCAGCAGATGGTAGCTCAGGGCCAATCTTCCTCACCAGAAAAAAAAAAGATCAAACAAGAGATTTTCATTTTTATGAAGTAAATTTCATCCATAGTTTCCTTTGTATTTTCATCCATGGCTTTTTAAGCTTTCAACACCACCCCCCATCAGAGATGAAAAAACAGTTGTTGTTAGGTTTATAATGTTTAAAAATGTCATTCATCTCAACCTCTTAACTGTTTATTTGGAAATACTCTCAAAAACATATATGTTGTTGGGATGTGAATAATGTTGAATATTCTAATGATCTGGAGCAGCACTGTCCAGTAGAAATTTATGTTACAATAGAAAAGTTTTATGTATCTGCTGTTCAGTATGGTGGCCACTAGCCACATGTGGCTATAGAGCATTTTATATGTGGTTAGTAAACCTGAAGGACTGAATTTTTAATTTAACTTTTAATGTAAATAAAATTTTAGATTTAAATTGTATTTAAAATTTAAAGTAAAAACAAATAGATCTAAAGACTTAAAGTCTTTAATTTTGTTTTCATATCTTATGTTTGCAACTCTGAATGGAGTAGTCTAATTTGGGTCCACTGGTGCATCCGTCCTCTGAGGAAAGATACTCAAGGACATGGTATCAGTAGTGCCTGATTGACTGTTGACCTGTATGTGGTTATGTCTCCTTTTCCTAGTGATAAGGGCAATCAGCACAAGCAGCATGTGTGTGTGTGGTGGGGGTGAATTCATCCAACAGAAAGCAGCAGGTAGAAGTGTTGGTCCCACTCATGTAAATAGTAATCTTTTCTATACATGTTAAAGATTTTGTTCTTATTATCTGTAAACTAAATCAGGGTATAGGGCATTGCTCCAGTCTCTGATGCATATCCAGTGAAATAAATGATTATCAGGAACTAAGACCAGGTGTCTGCCCCTCTTGAAGACAAGATATCTGTCCCACACAGAGACCAGATACCTGGTCCACTTGGAGAACAGCCCCCTATATAACTGGCCTGTGGTCTTTGTTCCGTAAGGTGGTTATTTCGTACGTTAGTCAGCTATCTTCCCCCTTGCTAGCAAGCTGTAATAAAACTCTTTCTGTCCTACCACCTTGCCTCTTGACTATTGGCAGTGTCTTCAGGCAATCAGATGACCCCCCTTGGGCAGTAACAGAAGTTCTTTTCTTTTGCATCTGTACAGGGTCATATCCCCTGTCTTTAGTGGCCTCAGCAAAGCTGCCTCACTAAAGAAAGGCCATCAGTGGTGAGTTGCACCATATTCTTAGGCTTAACCCAAGTTTTCTCTTTCTCTGTTACAGGCGCTGCATTCAGGTAGTTCATAAACTACTTTGCTACCAGAAGAAGTGTAGAGTACGCCTGCATTACACCTGGCGGGAACTCTGGTCAGGTAACTTTCTCTTTTGAATTCATTCTCTTTTTCTGTATTTTATGAGCCTCTAGGCCTGGGCACAAGAGGAAATTGTTTTTCAGCCTTTTTAGTTTGTTTAGGATGCTTCTATTTCCATTTATACTTTCTGTCATTTCAGCCTTCTTCTAATACAGAACTGGGCATGGCACTCATCTATTCCGTGCTTTCTCTCTTGTTCCTTCTCCTCCTTGTATTTTTTTGTCAGGTGGTAGAAACAATTAAATATTTCTTGAGTTCTAGTGATTCTTCCTTTGAGTAAGAGTGAGGTAGGGGAGGAGTCGGCACAAACTTGGATTCTCCCTCGCTTCCGTTTGGTAACAGCATATGGACTATAGGGAGGCTTCTGTCTGTTTCCTCAAGATGAGTAACCTCAGGAGGAATGTTACAGGGAGAGGGGGTGGGGAGGGGGTGGAGAGATGGGGGGAACCCTGTTCTTTGTCTTACATCTGGCATTATTACTGTTTACAGACAGTATCACTTGTACTACTCCCCCTGTGCCAGAGACAAAAACAGCAAATTACAGTGTTTACTTTTGTCTTTATCCATTTGGTAGCCCAGCAAAGTCACTGCCATCTCTGCAGGGGGGAAGTGGCTCTTCTCTAAGGGTACAATTAATGATGGCTTGCCACCCCTTTCTTTTGTGCAATTAAATTGGAGGTTTTAAGAAAGCAGAGGAGACATGTTCCCTGAGGCATTCACTTGCTGATAGATCCTGTGGCTTTTGTGACCTGATGGTACAATAGTCTTCTCCAGATGATTATAGTGATAAATGGTAGCCCCACTCATGGGAGAGCTTCTCTGTATTCTCAGCAGAGGAGGGTGTGTTAGTGTCAGAGGCTTTATAAGAAACCCCGCCCCTTCCATGCAATTTATCTCACTTGTTGTGACACATGGTTTCCTCCCAACCCAGTTTGGCTTTCTAAATTTAGTCCTCCGTAATGGGAAGTAGAGATCTTTAATTAATGGATTAGCAGGTTCTTTGCCGTTCCTGCCTATGGTGGTGAAGAGGGAATAGGAGAATAACACTAAGTGGCAATCATGGCATTTTGGTATTTTAGTACAAAAGAGTGTGATTGTGTGAGAGTTTGAGATGAGGGAATGTCAGAAGATCTAAAGAGAGATGAAAAGAGATCGAAATAACTAAAATTAGTAGAATTTCTTAGGCGGGAACAAATAATTGTTTTTTAACATAAAGGTCTACTATGATTGCATATCGATAGTTATATGATTGTTAGGCTCTAAAAATTTAAGAATAAAGAGAAAACACAAAAATGATGCAAATCTGTGGATGTTGGTACATTTGTAGGACTTAAAACGAGTATAAGTGGTTTACGTCTATAACTGATAGTTACACATTGTAGTACTAAAGAGTTGGTGGTAGTAGTTGTTTTTGCCTACTTTTGATTCTCTTCTGGTTTTATTTTCGCTTTTATTCCATTTGCTTTCCTTTGTATCCTGGCCATCCCGTCTCTGGCCCCTGGGATGTCTCTAGCTTTTCTCTGATTCTCATTATCTGTCGTCCTCTTCCTCATTGTCCTGTTCCATTGCCTTTTCCACATTGCCTTCTACTGTTCATCCTGGCCTGTCTCACTGGGGCCTGGGGCTTCCTATTACTCTCCTACCTCCACTTTGTGTGTCCTTTGTGCTTTTCTTGTCATATGTTTTACTTGAGATATGTTATAAACCCCAAAATACATTGCCATCATTTTTGTTTAAAGAGGCAGTATTTTTTTAAAGAGATTAAAAAATGCTTTTTATATTTATCTTTTCTGGATCTTAGCATTTCCCCATTCTGGCTAGGAAATTGTGAGGCAGATCGTTCTTTATCCTGTGTTGGTGAGTTGACTTTATTATGTCTTTGAGTACTTTCTGTCATGTTCAGCTCTGTTTGTAATTATGTGCTATCTCAGGACTGATTGCTTGGCATTCTAGGCTCTCGGTAGGTTGAGAGGAGGTTTATACGAGTGTCATTAGTGAGGCCTGGATGAGTGCTTGTTCCTAAGGCGTAGGTATTTGTACTAGAGTTCTCTGCCAAGTGAGGTAAGCTCTTTTTGCTATACATACTGGGTGAACCACCCTGGAACCCTGGCTCCACGTGTTCATACGTGGAATGCACAGTGAGATGCAGAGCAGTGGGTGTTAAGGAAAGCTGCAAAATGCTACACTACATCTGATGCATCAGAGCCCATAATAATATGTAATATTGCAACCAGTGAATATAAATGTGGCTGTGGTGGGTCCACCTACTCCTTGGCTGGTACTACCCCTCATATGTTGGTATGCCCATGTTTTCACTCTTTCTTTGCTTTTTAGGCTTAACCAATTTGAGGGAGATGTGTGAAACTCATCATGGCAAATATGCTTAGGCGTATAGATGCTTGCTCATAGACGTGCTGCAAAATTTCATTGAATTTTATTTATAAATAAGACTGGTGAGGCATATGTTGATAGATTGGACACACAGAAGTGCTTGGGTGTCTAGGAATCAGTTGGCTAGGGTGCAGATGCCTTTTGTCATTTGGAATGTAGGTGTGTAGTCTCACTGCACTTTGCATGGTGATTTTTATTCTTATGATGTTTGACTACAGTAGCTCTTGTTATTGGGGAGGTAGCCAGAGGTTGCCCTCCACATTCCTATATTGAATTCTCAGGTTTGGTCTTATGGATGAGGAGCAGCCAACTGTATTAGTTTGGGGTTTAATCCTGCCTGTTGGTTTTACAGATACAAGCCCTGACCTACTCCATGCTGCCACTGTCTATTTATACGATGCCTGTCACCATGGTATCTGAGTATGTGGGGGAAATATATTTAGGTTAACTTCAGCTAGAATATGGAAAGGAAGAAGTCCTCCCTCTCTCATTGCCTTCTTTTTATCAATCACTGTTTTTCACCAAGTTATGGAAAGTTCAAAAGCTCTTCTCTGACCTCTAGGCTACCCAGATCTCCTATTTGAGTAAATGGTTAGGTTGTGAAACTTTCCTCTGATAGAGATAGGAAACTGGGTTTCAGGATAAGATCCTTGTGAAAAAGTTCTTTACCTTTGAGAATACAATGAAAGATATAATCTTTGCGTCCAGAAAAATTTCTGTTTTCACATACATTTTGTCTCTAATTTTGTCTCTAATTTCAGAGAGTTCATGGACCCTCTCAAGCCCATTCATGATCCCATGTTAAGAATCTGGTCTTAATTTTAGGTTTCATGGCCTCCCAATTAATTCTGTTTTCACAGAAGATCTTAGTATTTGGTTAAATATTTTTTCTTTATTTACTAATTGTACTGCATTCCTCCTGGTAATTTTAGCTTAGCATTCTCCTCTCTGAACTTCTTGAGGCTAAAGACCACATTGGTCACCATGTTTTATTTCCTGTGTCTTCCTACAGCACTTTTGGCTTCTATTTTAGCATATCACATTATTTTCCTATGTTTGCATATGTCTGTATGATGATTTGTATAAATATCTATGTTTCCTCTTAAATTAAGTTCCTGGAGGGCAGGACCTGTGTTTTAATCATTGTTTTATCGCCAGCAGCACACTACTTGGCTTATAATAGAGGCTCAGAAAACATTTGAATGAATAAATAAATGGATGAATCGATATGTAGAATTTCCATTAATGATGAATCAACATTTTTTTAAAGGGGGCTGGCTCCGTGGCTGAGTGGTTAAGTTCGCGCGCTCCGCTGCGGCGGCCCAGGGTTTGGATCCTGGGCACGTTCATGGCACCGCTCGTTGGGCCACGTTGAGGCGGCGTCCCACATCCCACAACTAAGAAGGACCTGCAACTAAGATATACAACTATGTACGGGGTTTGGGAAGATAAAGCAGGAAAAAAAAAAAGATTGGCAACAGTTGTTAGCTCAGGTGCCAATCTTAAAAACAAAACAAAACATTCTTTTAAAGCAGCACAGTGTTGTGTTTGGGCCTCAAAACAGTAACAACAATAATAATAGAACCCAGAAGGATGTTTGTTGTCATGTTTCTGTTGAGCTGACTTCATCACCTTTTATTTGAGTTGTTGATGTGAAAGGGAGTGGTGGGTAATTTCTCTTTCCTTTGTCTCTCTCTTCCTTACCTACAGATACATGGATTGCTTTTAACCAAGTAAAAATGGAAACTTTGATGGTTTCTAAGCCATTAACCAAAGAATGAGCAGAATGTTGAGAGAGAAGCATGTAATTGTTGGAGAGGGAAATACTTGAACAGAGCTTCATGGAGTCAGCTTATTTTACTTCCATTGCAGGCAGAAGGGGCATTGGGGAGGTAGCCTGCATTTAAATAGTGTAGCTTTCCACAGTCTGAAAACATGGGTTGATTTAAAGGCAGATTTATACTGGCATTTTATATTCGACATTTATGTATGTATCACGGTGATTCTTACCCTTTCACTCTGCCACATCCCTGGATGATAAGTCATTATTTTTATCACCATTTGTTGGGGAAGGGAGTGGAGGTATAGAAGGGTAAGTGACTTGCTAAGGATCATGGAACCAGACACTAAACAGAGTCATGATTAGAACTTACAGTTCCTGACTCCTGTGCTCGGATGCAGATCACTAGGCAACATTTGCTCCCTCCAGGAAGAAAGGCTCCCAAAGCCCCCAAAACAGTCTGTTCAGCTTCACTGTGCTAAATAGCATCCAAAACATTCACAGCTTTGTGAAAAAGAGAAACTGTACATGGCCTGACCTTTCAGATACCTACTGGGAAAAATGGAAAGCCCAGAGAGTGTCACAGTTTTCTGGATCCAGCTGGCTGGCTCATCACTGGCAGAAGCCTGTGACCTCATGGTTAGGTACACCTTGAGACTAGGAATTGAGAGCCTTTCGTTGGAAGCTTGTCATACTGTAGGTGTTATACAGGACTGAAAATTTTCAGGAGAAAGACTGACTTGAGCCATAGATTTATCTGGCAGTTCTTGTATAGGTATAGCTTTGACAGTTTGGCAGCCCCTCCTGATTTTGGGAAACTATCCTTTGA